TCGACATGGAAGACCGAAGGCACCTAGAAGGGGGTGTGTGGTCACCAGGTCCAATCAGGAGCGTGTCTTGTAGGCACCGAGTCAAATCAGAGGCATCGACAAACATGAACATTGTCGCGCATCCACCATTCAAGTCGTAGTATGGCGCCGACCTTTGACTGGCTAGAGTCGTTGATCTTGCAGCTTGCAGCTTGCAGCTTGCATATTGCAGCTTGCCACATCTCCAGCGCGTCTGTCTTTCGGTCGCATAATAATAATACGGTAATATCACTTTGATTGTCGTGATCAACGAGTCAGCGCAGCAAAACGGGTACGTCGTAACCGACTTCCTATTTCTGACTGGGCTTCGCTTCCGCTCCGCCACCTCTCTGGAATGATACCACATGGGCTGTAGCGCACTATCGCTTGTGAACATACGAGGTAAGCCCACATTAGGCCGAAGGAGAGAGTGAGAGAGAATGAGAGAAGAATGAGAGAAAGACGTGCGCAACAGCACCAGGATCGAACTTCTTGAACCTTCAGAATGGGGAATTCCCCGGATTCTAGAAATACCCATGACTGTCCGAAAGAATTGCTCGTTAGGTCAGTAGGCTTCCTCTGGCGTAGCCATCGAATGCTAGTAGAGACTCAGAGTCAAGGTTTGGTGGGTTCGGGGAAACCTCGACGACTCCTGCATTCTTTCTTGCTCGTACGGCAGCATAGTTGGAAACTACAGAGCGGGTGAAGCATCACTCTCTGTCCAGCTTTTCTGTGAGCTCACTGGTGTTCACTGTCCATCATGATCGCCTCTCGAGTATGTGAACACTGCAGTCACTGCTGATCCAGGCCTTTTCGTCGCCAGCCACAGTAACAATGAAAATCCTCTTCCGGAATCGAGCGATGGAGAACTTGCTTTTGCCGCGACGCCTTGATTTCCCCTGTTCCTCCTCCCCACGGCCCAGCAGTCTGTCGATGGCTACGGAACGCCCAATACATATAGCCCACGCCTGGGCTGCTTCGGAGCACGCGTCTCCCTGAGTGGTCGTGATGATACCTCCGCTCTGCGTCCGTAAGGTACCTTGAGCCGAGGAATTCCGCATGCCAAGCGACGCTTATATCCAACTTTTCCCTGCAAATATGGATTCAGTGAAACGATTCCTTGTGGCTAACGGGGCAGAGGGACTTCTAGGAGTAGGGGCCCCAGGTTTGGTGGCACGAATGTGAATCCTTCGAGACATCTAAATTTCCAAGCACTGCAAGGGTGACTCTTCTCCGCAGGGTGTTTCCGCATCCCATAGGTGCCAGTCTCAAGGTCGTAGACTCGGGACTGTCCAGTGTAGAGCAGTCGGGGCTGAGGCCTCGCTTCCCCATAGCCCGAAATCCCCGGCATCACCCTAGGGAGCTTGACCATGTCCAGTTCTGCGTGGCATGTTGCCAGGGATACCTCGTGTTGCAGAGTGCGGGAGGCGAGTCGACAGTACTCTATCGAAACATAGTACTCCGTACCCCTTCTGTGTCCGAAAGCATTGCAGGAGCAGTGGTGAAGTCAGCCGTAACGCCGGTAGTAGTATGACTTGCACGTCGAAGCATAATAAATGGTGTCCCACCCCTCAGTACCAGCGAACCTCTGGCTAGCGGTCTGCCTTGCCATTTGGTATCCTTCATACAATAGCAAATGGCATGACCAACGAGCGATGGCTCGCCGGCGTCGGGTGGCCGTGGCGCCGTGTGGATCCTCTTCTTCGACCCTGATAATCCACGAAGGGCCACTTGCATATTCACATAGGGCGAGGGGCGACTGGCTTTCCAGACAGTAAGAAATGACTTAATTAGCCCGGAGCCTCGTGCGGCATCAAAGTGCAGCTCATGACCTTCTCAGATCGATGTAATCAAAGAAGATGCCATGCCACTGAGCACAGTATCCTGACTGACAGCAGATTGCGGCGCAGATGCAGGTCAGTTCAACCTGTTATAATGTGGTACGTGCCTCGAGACAGGTAATAGAACAATTGCGGAAGATGCCGCGAGTTTGTCGCGAGTAGGTCAGGGCTGGTAAAATCCGGAGATATCCCATGTCATTATCATATTACACCATCTTCTCAGGTCCACCGTCTTGATTGCAGTCTCCTTCCTAATTATTGTCTGCCCAGATCGTTATTCGGCCACTGTGAAATCAGGTCAGGATCGGCTAAATGACCTTCGTGAGGCACTCGCGCTAGAGACGATTTGAGTAGCAGGGTCAAAAGGCACTGATTCGCCATACACGTGAGACCCCGGGGAAGAACGCCAAAGGACATCGGCATACGACTCTCGTGGAACCCCTGGCAGAGACATAATTTGCTCCTTAGTGTGCAGTCCGGAGGGGTCCATCGCTCGCCGTTGGACCCGGGAAACCGTCTCGTCTATATGGTGGTATCTGCAGGCAGTTCTTAGCAAATTGGGAATACTCCTGCATCAAAGATAGGGAGAGTAGTATTGTCGTGGGACGGCCCTGGGTCTGGGCAGACGTGTTTTCGAGGATGATTGAAGCTCTCCATGTCAAGGTGGTGTGAGACCCAAGGCGACTGCAGGGTTCAACATGATGAGGCTTGATGGGGTTGATGGCGGGGTCGAAGGAGTCGAGACGGGATTGCCCTACCCAGATCAAAAGGGAAAAAATTCCGCCATCCTTCCAACGAGGTGGCCTTGCATTACAAAACAACAAGACTGCTACGTATGTACCGCGTACTCCGTGCGCTGTTCATGGTGTAGTCCCATTCCCCTGAGGGTGGTCACTGACGATGTTGAATGCAGTGCGGCAATGCAGTAATGCTGCGCAATCAACTGGGACTCGTGGTGGTGATGATGCCAAGCGACGCTTAGACACAAACGGCCTAGCCACCATGTGCCACCACGCGTACCTCCACTGCACTGCAACTGCTGCACTATGCAGGTGCGCCCTAGGGGCTAGTAACATGGGAGCTAGGAGGAATGTTAGGAAGTAACCGTGGATGATTTCACTTCACCAGGGATGATAATTGCTACGTACCAGGTAGAAGTGGCCATGTTTTGATTGTGATAGATGGGTGCTTGGCTGCCTGCCTGCCGATTGCTTGCTGGGGTTTCTGCTGCAGTGCTTGCCCATAACATGCGGTGGTTGGCAGTGACAGTGCTGCACCAGTGCAGTTCACCCCATGCCTCTCCTCTCCTCGGCCCGCGGTTAAATGAGCATCAACGATTCACCACCACCTCAACACAAAATACAGAGTATCCTGTACACCACCGCGCGCACACCTAGAGGCAATCTCTCCCAATACTCATCTCACCCCACTTCAGGCAGGAGACAACAGCCTCATTGATCCATCAGTCTGACCCTCTCTCGTCGAATAGAACAATACTCCACCAATTCATCTTGGAGTCTTGTCACAAGCCTTGGGGCTCTCCCACCGCCCTCAAGCCACAGACTAGCCAGCCTCCCCTCGCCCCCGGGGCCCTGGTCAATCTACCAGCCATCTTTATCCCCTCCAGTGGCAAATCAGCTCTCGAGCCAAAAACTTCCTTTCCCACCCTTGAGTGCATGATTTACTACTGCACACGCCTTAGACGTGTCAGAGCGCTGGACCGCACATCTCGCTTCTCGCTTCGACTTGTATCTTCGTCCCACTTCTTCCCACTCACCTTCTGCCACTCGAGACCTCCCTCCAACCCCAACGGCGTTGCAGTAACAGTCGGCAAGGAGAAAAACTCTCTCTACCGACCTCACATCAACCTCTTGTCCACACTCCGCCACCTTCACCACAACCTGGTACACATATTAGGCTTTCATCTCTCGCGCGTCGGGAGGGCAGCAAGAGAACAGGAAAAGATAATCCGCGACGCTTAACGAGTCATTGGTGGGCTGGGGCCTCCTGAACAAACACTCCCTGTTAGCTGCCGCAGTCCCAGTCGCGCCACTGCTAGCCACTCTTGTGAGCACGACGCTATCACCACTTTCGACCATCGCTCCACCTTAACTTGCAAACTCTCCTTCCCTTGTCCGATTTGGATCACCTGCCGGCGGGCTAACTAGCCTGTCCACTCAAACACAGGGTGGGGTTCCAGCAAAATCCTCACAACCCGAAAGACAAGGCACAAAGGTGTCAAGGACACGCTCTTCTCCATCAGCAATTCGTTATTGGCTGGTGGTGGTGAAGACGCAGACCTGACCGACTGCCAGCTGGTTCCACTGCTAGCAAGCTCTCACCCTTCGGCATCTCTGATCGTGCAGCGTGAGCGGAGGCAAGGCCCCTGTCGAGTCTGGTGTCGGCGCGGGAAGTCAGAAAAACTCCCTATCACATCAACCTGGCACCGCAACCCTGGTGAATTGTGCGCAAAACACAACGCAATCCGAAGGCCGACGAGTCGGCCACTCGTTGCTACATAGAACGGGCATCCGATCCCGAAGGAAGACATACCGCCCCTCCCTACGCTGGGTCACTGCCTTTCGCTTCTACTCTTTATTAGTCTCGCACCTCGCGCCATCTCGAGAAAAGTAACGGTTCCCTCTTGGTTCAGTCCGAGCTTTGCAGCTAGTCGAGCGACGAGAGTGCTAAACCTCACTTTCGAACCGACTTGGCCCCATCGGCTAGAGCGATTACTCCCCCTGCTCCACGATCAACCCGGCGCTCTCTCTTCAACTGGTCGCCGGCCGATCTCGTGTCCATCCTCGTGCCAAAAACGCTTCCCGGTCCCGACCTATTCTGAGTCGTTACCATCCCTCTCCACCACGCTGTCGGCTGGGTTGACTGGTGACTTGGGTTCCTCGCCTGGGCAGCCTTTCGAAATAAAGAATACGCCGGTTCTCGATCTAAGCATTGCTTCAGTCGTATCGTCGCCTGCTGCCGAGCTTGTGGCCTAGACAGACTGCCTGTGCTGACTGCTGTCATCCACTACCTTTCATTCGGGTCCCTACGCCAGTACCACTCCAAGTCTTCCCAAACACTATTATCTCGTCCGTCGGACCGCGTTCCCTTGACCTGGGAAGCAGTCAGGAACACCTTTTGATGGACAGGGGTGCATCAGAATACGCGCAGTCAGGTTAGCAACGATCTTGCACGCAACTGTCATCTTGATCGAGCAAGCTCTGAGAAACTCTCGTGTCCCTAGATCAATCGTCTGTCGCGACCTACACCACGCAAGACCCGCGTTCAGCAAACCTCTCGACCAACAACACCCCGCAGTCGGATTACGGTCTCACACCGTCCTCTGCGCGCTCTTCAGGGTTTCCATCGGAACATTTGCGATACAGCCAATACTCTCACACGCCGCACCACCCAGGCGCTGTAGGAACCATGGCACAACCAACAAGTCCGTCAAAGTCCCTGCCAGATGGAGCCTCCAATGGCAATCCAACTGCACATTCCACCCATGTGAGGTCTAACTCGGACGTTCCTATAGATCCCTCGATTTCGCAAGCAAGCCCGACCTACCCTCCCTACTCCCCATACCCGCAAGGGCAGGATATGCAGCATGCCTACCAGCCTCAACACCCGCCTTACATGCAGCAACGACCGCCGCACGAGCAATGGGCCGGATACCCCCCTCAACATGGCATGCCTGGTCCCTACCCGCACCCGGGACCAGGTGTCCAAGGACCGCCGCAGACCTCCACTGCGTCGCGAACTGGTCAAGTATGTATAACCTTCAAACTCTCCGCCTGTCCCAAGCTCCGCCGAGGCGGTCAACTAACGGTTTTAAATGCAGGTCTACTCCTTTGTCCCCATCCCTGGAGCCCAGCAGCACAAACGACCCCGTCGAAGATATGAAGAAATTGAGAGAATGTACAAATGTGGGTGGAATGGCTGCGAAAAAGCATACGGGACATTAAATCATTTGAATGCGCACGTCACGATGCAATCGCATGGAACAAAACGAACACCTGAAGGTAAGGCCCCTTCACATCCAAAGTTTTTGTTGTGGATTTCTGCGCCCCGGGGCAATAACCCATTTAGCTGTGTAACCTATATCCGATGCCTGGCTGTGCGGGGGTGTCCAGGCTGCCTGCATCTGCTTCAGGGTTGCTTGTTTCTTCTTTGAGTAACAAACTAACTCTTTGTGTAGAATTCAAGGAGATCCGAAAAGAATGGAAGGCGCGCAAAAAGGAAGAAGAAAACGCGCGTAAGGCCGAGGAGGAACGACAGCGAGCAGCAGCGCAGGCGAGCCAGGTCGATGGACAACCCGCAGATGCGCATCAAGTGCCAGCACAAGGCTATCAACAGAACGGCGCTCGGCCTTCTCTGCCTCCTATCGGCTATCAATCCACAGATGGCCATGCTCAAGGTCAATACGGCCAACCCCAGGCTGGCATGGTGTACCCTCAGGGAAACGGCCAAATGGGCACCTATGCAAACTATCCCAACTCCCCCTACGCGCAGCAGGGGCAAGTCTATCAACAACGCCAATACTAGACCGGTAGCACAGCCCGGCTTGTGTGATTGCTAACTCGCGCTGCATCCTCGGCTCTGAGCAATCACTGTCCGCAGCTGGGCGTGATCGCACCCATGATCGAGTTTCATACCTGATGCATTGGGGCGTTGCCACGCATTCATACGATACCCAAGGTGGGAGTGGAGGAGCTAATGGGAGCGCGCCAAACGGAAAGACCAAAAGACCAAGGGGGCAATGACGGCCGGAGTTTGTGCTCAAAAGCAGCTGGTGGATGCCTGTGCACAGTTGATGCCTTTTTTTTTCCTGCGCGTGTGGCTTTTTCTTTTCTTTCGGCTGGCCTCAACAGCAACGGCTCAGCAGTACAGGGGGTTGAGGTGATGAACGTTACGATCGACCGACAGCATGCAGGTTTGCAGGGTAGGGGAACTGAGCCGGAGATGGAAGATTCTTGTTGTTCGCATACACATCCCAAACTTTAGCCGGTGGACTGAAGCGCAACGGGAGCCGCCTGGTGATCGGTTGGGTTTGCCAGTGCTTGTTAACCCACCTGGCCACGAGTGTGGTTCAGTCCACTTGAGGGATCTTCAGTCAGTTTTTGTACATTCACAGTACCCAGAGATCAGGCAGGATATGTCTCGCGTTCTGGAGGAGCTCAGATGGATCACGCTATTAGAATGGGGATCGGTCATGCTGTGATTCCTAGCAGAGACAGACAATGAAACCGCGAGTATTGATTAAATTTCTTTCTCCTTTCTCTCCAGGCCACTCAGTATCTCAATTGGGGATCGACAGTACAGGTTGGGCGTAACATTTGTGAGCATAGACTGCACGCCAGTGTGGCAACATTCAGCGATCGATCTATCTTGATGCATTGAGATACGGCCGGGAGCTAGAATGCCATATAGGCAATGAACGGCATGGCGATGTGGTTGTCGTGAATTTAAGGTTGTTTGGCCTCAGTCGGCCGGCGCCTTGGGCGGGCAGGCATGCGCCAGCGAAAGAGCCCAGGAAGTCGGAAACCGGCCTCAAGTTTTAGCATGGTGACACAAGGCTTATGGGAGCTAAGATGGTGGCCGCATGGGGGAGCAAGTGTACGAAATTCGCCGGTGGGAGGAACCACTGGAGCTTGGGAGGCAACAAGGCCAAAGGACCCTTCCTTAGGGGTGCTAACCTCTAGGCGGGATGGTGGCAACGGCGCACGAGCTAGAGGCTTAGGGGCCCGGGAAAAACTGCCTGACCGTGAAGGCGGACTAGAGACTTAGGCGCCGCCTTAGGCGCTGCGAGCTGGAGGTTTAACTGAATAAACTAACATGGCCGTGCTAGTAGCCTTTGCCAGGGCCCAGGCTCGAGCAACACCTGCTTGGTCTGGCGACTATCTCTAAGGCAGTTTAGCCTGGACGCGCTGTCATCAGTGGACCACCAAGCACCAAGCACCACGCACCAAACAACGTTGCGTCACTGAAGCTGGATCTATGCAAAATAGCGGTTGAGCCTTTTTGTGCACTGCCACATCTTCTCTCTTACCGACACACTGGTTGCCATTGTCACTGGTGCCATCCCCCATGCACACACATCAAGCTTGACAGTTGACCTAGCACTAGACCTTTCCCCGCGCCCGACACGAGCGACAGCTAGCTTGAACGAGCATAAGTGATGTCCGCCGTTGAAACTAAAGAACAGATGGCTGCGGCACTCGATTTACATGACGTTTTGACCGGCGAAGACTAGTACAACGCCTCTCCCGGCTCGAGACTTGGTGAACCAGCGGGGGGTTGACTCGCTAGCAGTTCTCTTTTCCACCTCCAGTCTTCGTATTCCCTGTCTCCGGGCGATCCGCAGATCTCCCGCTGGACTTGTCTTTCTGCCCGCGTCTCGCTCAAGCGACCTTGTGTGGTCTGTGATGAATCAGGCACTCATGAGTGTAGTGGTGGTGGATTCGTGGAGGGAGATCCGGCTGTGTGACAACACATGCCCGAGATGGTGGCGTACAACCTGAAGCCTGCCATAGTCCAGCCAACGAATTAGACAGATGAGTGGGAGAGACTTTACTGCCAGAATCTTCCAGGCCGTTTGACGAAGAGAGAAGTTTGTTCTTTTCAACAGTGGCCGCCTCAGATGGATCTGCTGTAGATATAGCGGGGGCCGTCTTTGTCACCAAATTGTTCAACTGACTTTAAACAGGACTTGTAAAATCCCGAGCCATCACCACGGATCCCGACCCAAGACGTTAATGTCTTAGGTATCTGAATGCCAGCAGTTCTACATTGCCGTGTACTGCCTCTTGTTGAGGGTTGCGAGTCGTCAGTTTACCTGAAAACCTGTGTACGCCGTTAAAACTTCAGGAGGCATCCACGTCACGTGCGTCAACTGCCACTCGGGGCACCTGCCTTATCTGAAAATTTCTGGACTAATACATCGAAAGTCGGGCGCAGTCGATGGACATGGACATGACTATGATGGCTTTCGCTTTTCTGGTCCATCAACCTTTTTCTCTATGACAACTACCTCCTGATGTTCTCCTGCTCTGCCTGTGTGCGCCGAGCGTTACAGTCCCTTGCCCGCGACCCAAATGTATCCGCCTCCCCATTAACCACCGCCTCCGTCTCACATATCGTTCTACCTACCACTTCTTTCTCACGCACGCATGCGACCTTACAGTCCATACAAAAAGGCCATCATCGCCGTTCTCTTTACAAGGCCTTGCGGAACAACAATGCCATAAGGGTGTCGAAACTATCCCGGGTGGGAAGCGTCCCGGCAAAGGCCCACCGCAAGGATGTTCTTGCCCGGGAGGACAACCGTGGTCGCCTAATAACCGAGTCCACCGGCACAAATCTGGATAGAGCTATGAGACTCGAGGCGAAATTTCTGGTTGATCCCATGAAACTGGCTCAGGCTGTGGTGGAGAAGCTCAGAGACTCCGACTTTGACGCTGCTATGAGCCTTGTGCGTGCCAGCGAAAAGGCCCGTGATGGCATGGCCGTGGACAATATCGTTAGTTGGAATCATATCATCGATTGGCTAATGAGCCAGGGGGAGCCGTCAATGGCATGGAAGATCTACAATGAGGTAAGGCATACTACCTCTGAACGGTGGGGCCATTTTGAATGACAAGTGTTTGCTGCAGATGAAGAAGCGAGGCCATAAACCTGATGCCCACACTTACACCATTATGCTTCGTGGCTATCGAGATAATGTGAAGAAACCCAATGTTGTCAAGCAGGCAGTAGCTGTTTACGACTCCATCTCTGCCGCGAACTCCGCGGTTACTCCCACGACCATTCACACAAACGCCGTTCTCAGTGTGTGTGCCCGAGCCAATGACATCGAGTCCCTCTGGAGCATTGCGGGAAGGCTTCCTGACAAAGGGCCTGGCGCGCCTGACCATATCACATTCACCACCATACTGCAGGCCATCAACGCTGAAGTTCGCGCGCGCGCGGTTGAACTGGGTGGTCGGAACGGGCCTGATTTCGACGCGCAGCCCATTTTTGAACAAGCAGTTTCTGATGCACGAAAGCTATGGGTCGACATCACCGCACGTTGGAGGAAAGGCGACCTGCAACTTGATGAGGCCTTGGTGTGTGCGATGGGAAGATTGCTCATGCTTTCCACCGAACCCAAAGCCTATGAAGATGTGCTTAACTTGGTTCAACAAACCATGAACATCCCAAGGACGCCTGATGGCTTGGGAAAAACAGGCGAGGACCTTGCTAAGGAGGAAGAGAACTCAGTCACTAGCCCTAGCGCAAACACTTCTTCTCCCCCCGAGACTGCTAACAGCTCATTGGTTAGACAAGGTTTGCGGCAGACTCAACTGGGCCCTACTTCAACCTCGATATATGCTATTCCTGGCCAAAACACGCTGTCGATGCTCATAGAGACAGCTACGGCTCTTCGATACTTACGAGTAGGGAAATACTACTGGGATTTGCTCACCGCTCCCGAGGGTTTATACAAGATTGTTCCCGACCACGGAAATGTCATGGCCTACCTTCGTCTTCTCCGGGTGTCTCGAGCAAGCCAAGCCACCCTGGATGTCCTCCGCATGCCGCGGCCTAAGGATATTCAAGACCGACTGATGGTTCGAGGTACATTCTTCATCGCCATGAGCACTTGTTTGCGAGACAAGAACAACCCAAATGTGTTCGAGACAGCTAGTCGGATACTGGATTTGATGCAAGGTAGGGCGGAAGCTGTCGACCAGGAACAGTCTCCCACCTCCGGGGGCCAACAGCTTAAATTATCACCTAAGGTCCTCACTAAGTATCTGGAACTGGCTCTTGCCACTACGAATGGCTTGAATGGCTCTCGGTTGAACAAAAGAAAAGATGGCGACCTGGACTTTGAGCGTGATCCTCGCAAGAACAACACATTGAGAGCCCTGAGGAGACTGGCCCCAGACATGGTCAATGTCAAGCGCCTATTAAAAGACCACCTGGATGAATCCGAACAACAGGCAGCGATGAAAGCTCGAACGCCAACCGTCCAGAAGATCTTGGCGAAGCGTCAACTCACTCATCTCAGCGTCAGTGAGAATATACGCGAGCTCGTCGACTTCTTGCGCATGTTGATTGGTGCATACGACAAGATATTAATGGTCAATGAACATTTGGAGGACGACGGGTTGGGGCCTCTGGACAAAGATATTCTGACAGAATGCTGGTCTCAGAAGCGCAAGCTATCTGCCTTCCTAGGCAAGGTCATTAACGCACGCGGCATCCCAAAAGAGGCTCGACAGATTCCCGAGCAGGGCACTGTTCACCGCCAGACGTCAACGGAGCCTTTGGAGGACAACTTGGGTGACGAGGCTGGAAAAAGTCTGGATGTGACGCTTCCAAATCAAAGAACGAAAGCACTGAGAGAGATCAACAGATCGCGCCTGAAGCAAGAGAAGGCAAGAGAGGAAAGCCGGCTTTCCAGACGACAGAAGCGAGAGCTGGAAAAAGAGGAGCGCATCAGAAAGCAGTTCCCTGCTAGCATGCTGAAACCCCCTCAGAGTGGCCGATCGCGGACAAATAGTCAGAAGTTTGAGACCACCGATCACAAGCGTACAACATCGCCTTCACAAAAGTACAGCGGATGGGGCGGCGAATTCGCGGCGCTTGCTCGTGAGCAAGGCCAGGGTGAAAACACGAGTTTCATTGACTTGCGACCATGATGGGTCGATTAACTCACGAACCGAGCTCCGTCCCACACACTCTCGAGTATAGCGACATACGAGTGTTTGGGGACAACCTGTTTGGCTTGTTGATTTGATTTGCATAGCGATGGTGCGCTGCGGAGAGTTTCGGGCGTAATATATCATGTACGTTTGACGGTGAGCAAGTTGACATTGTACGATATTGTGGGTGGCAGTGGAGTAAAAGATGGATCATACCCACGCAATCCTCGACACAGATGAAAGCATAACCACAGTATCTTTCGAGTTCTCGTTGCCCGGTATACTCTTGTGAATTGATCGAGGTGAACCCTGCAACGGCAGAGACAATGTAGCTGTAGTGTACGGAGTATTGAAAACGGAGATCGGAGATCACGTGCGTATAAACAAGCCTAAGGCTAGTCATGTGGTCGCCGGATAATAAACATGCCGTTCCGGACAGTCGACGAGGCTGACCTCACGTTCCGTCACACAATATTCATGCTGGTGATATTGCTTGCTTGATCTTTCTTCTGGACGGCAGTGTCTGCATAAGTGTTCTCACTTCGATCTAGAGACTAGAGCGTCTCCCGCGATGAGATATGGAGCAGCTCAGGTTTCCCAGCTGCTCCGCCCAAGTCATGGATTTTCTCGAGTCCCCTTGAAGGGCACAACGCTGCGCCTCTCCTCTCCATTCCTTGGCCGCATTGGACATACACACTTCCCGAAACTATGCGCGCATTACAGCACGAGGCGCCATGATGAGACGAGCCCCCCGGTGACACAGCTACCGGAATCCCAGCCGGCGGCCAGGCCTACCCTTCCAGCGCGGCAGTGGTCAACACCGCTCGCGAAGACCATCGCGCAGGCGATTGAGGTATGTGCAGGTCTCTCGCACACAGTCTCCAGGATGAATTGAATCTTTGCTGAGAACACCGTCTCTCTACCAGGTCACTGGACCCATCTCCATCGCCTCCTACATGCGGCAATGCCTCACGAACCCCGATGGAGGGTACTACACCACGGCTCGGCCGTCGTCAGAAGAGGCAGACCAGTTCGGCAAGGCCGGCGACTTCATCACTTCGCCCGAGATCTCTCAGATCTTTGGCGAGTTGGTCGGAATCTGGTTCATGACCGAGTGGATGGCGCAGGGTCGACCGCGGCAAGGCGTCCAGTTCATTGAGATGGGGCCCGGACGGGGCACATTAATGAGTGACATTTTGAGGACGATCGGACAGTTCGGAACGTTCGCTCAGGCCATACAAGCCGTCTGGCTCGTCGAAGCTGGCGAAGGACTACGACACAAGCAGAAGCAACTGCTGTGCGGGCCCGATGCAGAGATGAAAGAGGTCAGAGACCCTACAGGCAAGAACGTGTGGTGGGAGGCGACCAGTAACCAAGGAATCCCGGTGCGGTGGGTGGAGGATATTGTGCTGTTACCGAAACCCGGGGAGGGCGGAGTCGACAAGAATCTGGAGATGCCATTCATCATTGCCCATGAGTTCTTCGATGCTCTTCCGATCCACGCATTCGAGTCGGTGGCGCCGAAGCCCGAGGACACTCCATCAGAAGACGCGACTGCACAACTACTCGGTGGTGATAAATCAGGCGAACATCGGCCCAAGCCGTCCACGGCAACTAAACTGCCGCAGTGGCGAGAACTTCTCGTGGCCCCGACAACACCAAGATTCTCCATCCCATCACCGGCCGAGACGCAAAGACGGGACAGTCACAAAGATCCGGAGCCGGAGTTCCAACTGACTCTCGCCAAAGCAAGCACGCCGAGCTCACTCGTCATCCCCGAACGACCACGCTACCGCGCCCTGAAGAGCCAAGTATCGTCACGCGTCGAAATCTCACCAGAGAGTGCACGCTACGTACAGGACTTTGCACGCCGGATCGGTGGAGATGCCAGTGTGACACCAGCAAATGCGACTTCCAAGCCCGGATCAAGCAAAACAGGACCCAAACCGGCCGGAGCAGCGCTCATCATCGACTACGGCCCGCTGGAGACGGTGCCGGTGGACTCGCTCCGCGCGATCCGGAAGCACAAGATCATATCGCCGTTCGTGTATGCCGGTGATGCGGACATCAGCGCGGACGTCGACTTTGGGGCCCTGGCGGACGCGGCGTTGGAGGCCAGTCTTGGCGTCGAGGTCCACGGGCCGGTCGAGCAAGGCATGTGGTTGACGCAGCTGGGCATCCAAGAGCGGGCGAATCGGCTGGCGAAAGAACTCGAGAAGAAGAAAAGTCGAGGTGGTGCAACGGCAGAGGAAAAACTCGAACTCGACGAGGCCGAGGAATTGGAAATGCAGAGCAAGAAACGCGAATTGGAAATGGGCTGGAGGCGGCTCGTCGAGCCCGGGCCAAAGGGCATGGGTAAGGCGTATAAAGTCATGGCCGTCCTGCCTGAAAACGGCGGCCGAAGGAGGCCGGTCGGATTTGGCGGAGGCGTCGTCGGATGATGCAGTCAGTCAGTCAGTCAGATAATGAACAGTGCCACCCTATCCTTTTTTGGGCTTCTCCGCGCCTCTAAATTGCATCAATGAGTCTCTTTCCAACTTGTTCTCAGTGGGAGTCTCTTTCCAACTTGTTTTCGGTGGTGGAGGGATGGAGGAGTGGAGGTTGGCGGGAGGGGATAGAAGGAGGAGAGGGAGGAGAGGGAGATACACACACAGATATACCCGTACCCCGATCAAGACCAGAGATGGACAGGAACAGCAACGGGAACAGTCCGAACAAGGAAGGGGACCTGCCTGGCCTGCCTGAGCCTGTCTGAGCCTCCACTGGAGTACAGTCCTGCATAGCATACTACTCCGTATACTATACTGTAAGTCTACGACAGACAGACACCGAAACAAGTCACAACCAAGCATGAAATGAATTGAATTCATGTGATGATCATGAATCCCCATTTGCGTTTTTCTACCTTCCTTGTGTAGATGCCTTCCAACCAACCACCAACGATTCTTTCCCGTGACAAGGTAGGTAGTTTTTAATAGTTCTATACCTAAAACTCCAACATGCACATGCACCCTCCAATCCGAACGACACGTGGGAAACCAAACATCCTCGAACTCTTACTTCCCAGGTACTGTGGTACACCACATGCCATAAAGCCGTCGTAGAAACACATCTTTCATGAGCATAATATGACAGATGTCAACCCAACACAACCCAACACAGCACTCATTACTTCCCACTAACCCAACTGAACTTCTCGCTGATCTTACTCGTGACATCGCTCAAGCTCATCCCACTCATGCCAGTCCCACTGGTAATTCCTGTCTTCCCGGATTCACTGAACCCGCTTCCCAAGCCAGATCGGTGGCGGCCTTTCTCGTCTCCGCCGCCAAAGATCCTCTCAAACTTGGCTTGTATTCTTCCTTCGGCAATGGCAGACACAATGTTGATGATTCCAAACGCAGAGGATCCAATGGCCCGGAACAGCGCCACCGCCGCCACCGACCACAGGAGGAAGGTCAGATAGAAATTGCTTCCGAGATGGCTACCCACCGGGTATGCCTCGGAAACCGCCATGGCTAGGATGGCGTTGCAGACCATGTAGAAGGCCACCACGTACGTTCGCACCGACTTGTAGTAATCTTCCTGGAGCTGACTTTCGCTGACGGGTGGTTTCGCCACCTCGACCCGGTCACGTAGATTGCGCAGTGCGACATCATACGCAGAGTCGATGTCGAGCTGTTCCGAGGGCATCTCGACCTCGACCGTGTTGCCGGATCCAATGGCTCTGGCAGCACCCAGGTCAGTATGCAGGACATTGTCGCCCTTTGTTCCCCAGGTGACATCATGTGTGTTGCAGAATGCGTACACCTGCAAAGTGCAGATGTATGATGGCAGAAGGGCGAAGTACTGTGCCGAGCTGGTAAACATGTGCCACGGGTCCAGATACAAGAATGACATGAGGAAATACAGCCCCACTGTGCTGATTGTGCTGACAATGAGGTTCGTGAAAATGTTGTTTCCAAGCTTGTAAGCGTGTTCCGGGTCTGTGTTTTCCAAGGCATGGGTCGTGAGCTGTTTGATAACAATATAGAGAGAGGCAAAAGTCGTGTATGCCATGATGATTGAATAAGTGATCATGGTACCCAGAAATAGTTTCTTTGCACCCTGCGGCCGATTGCCCAAGCTGAGAATGAACTGCAGACAGATCAAGAGCACGCAGACATAGCGCAGGACGACGAAGATGTACTTCCCAATGTGGTGCCCAAATGGATCGATTTTAGGATCTGCCAACGACCCGGCGACGAAGTAAAAGGTGAGGTAGAAGTTGGCCAGTGAAAAAAAGGTGAAGAGCAGTGAGACGAATTGATACACGAATTCGATATGCAACAGAATCTTTCGAGTCAGGCTGTGGTCGGTCCGCCAAATCTGCTTGAAGTGAACGAGGGAGTAGACGGCGGCAAAGAAAGCACCGTTGAGCCAGCGTCGTCGTTGAGAAATAAACTCCGGCACAGCATCTACAAAAATGTCAGCTTCCGTCCCCTTTCGCCATTCGGGATTCCTTACCTGGTACGTCAGTCTCGCCATAAGCGCTCTTGACGAACTTCAGCACCCATTGTTCCCCACGTTTTGCAACAAGTTCCCAGCAAAGAATTCGATCTTCGGCGAGATACATGTTGGCAGTGAAAACGTCGGCGTCACGGCCATGCAGTGTTTCTCCCTTAAAGTACTGGCTGAGAGGACCGTGGCCGCTGGGGTCATTTTGCAGGGCATGATAGCGGTATGCCGAAAGTGCGCCGGGAAGGACGGTGATATATCCAAATACTGACTCGAGTGGTTTGTCTAGGATATTGCTCATCTTGTACTCGAAATTTTGCGAGGCCACCAGCGGGTTGAGGAGGCCCATCCATCCTTTCCCTTTGTCGGCTTTGATTTCTCCGGCAGCTCCAGCAACGTTGGAGTCTTGGTCGAATGCTTTCCAGAGATGGTACAGGGCCTTGGAGTCTGGCTTCGTGCCCACATCCAGAAGGATACACACGTTCGGTATCAGGGCGCGTCCGAAAGCGTTGAAGAACCATCGATGGGAGTTTAGCTTCTTTTTGTTTTTCTCCTTCAGGCAGAAGATCATCTGGCAAGGGACAATCCCTTTCTCCGCTCCCTTGAACTTCAGCGTCTCGTCCAGCGAGACCTGAGTGGTGTACTCATAGACATGGGCTGTCACCTCTTTCTGGTTGACGACGTTCTTGGCTATGCCATCTTGATACACACCCATGGCCGCCAGGGCGTTCAGCGTCCGTGGGTGGACCTTCTGCCTCCCGTCGGCAATAACACAGACGACGATTTTCTGCCAGCCGTCTTTGCCCCATGTCCGAGACTTTGTTCTCGAGCAGAAATGTGCTATATTTCTCATGACGCCGTGCATGGTCCTGGTGAATTCGATTTCGCCCTCATTGTACATTGTGACGCAAATGAAAAGTTCGGTCTCTCTCATTGTCGGCCCAATGTTTTGACGCAGCTTGTAACCTTTCATCACAAAGTCGTCTGGGTCACAGGTAACTGCTGTGTATCGCATATGGGTGAACTCACGTTCGTCTCTCCGAGGCAAGAAGCTGTGGAGGATTGTAGGGATTTTGCATTCGAGAATTAGCTCCCCATTGATCAACCTGACCTCCTTCGTCGTCTTCTGTGCGTCTCTCAGACCTCGCCGGTCTTGCCTTCCTTCTGGTGCTGGCCCATAATGATTGAACTTCTCGTTGGTAATGTCGTCGTCTTCCGTAAAGGTCGAGTCGGTCATGTATGAGTGCGCGGACTTCAAACTTGCCCTCGGGTCATTATCTGGGACGACTGAATAGCCGTCGACAAACACATCATTCTCTGAGTCCGGCTCATGGATGGGGATTCTGGTTTCAGCAACATCGCCCTTTGCCGAAAAGAGGGGTGCAGGGGGCAGAGGCCTCCTTGGACTTCCGCCATATTGTGAAGAGGGCGTCCCGGGACGAGGACTACCGTTGATATCTGGAGGTTCGTATACCACATTTGACGCGGGAGGTCTAGTCCAGTCTGTCGATATGCGAGAAGGGGTAGAGGGTCTGATGGGAGAGAGGGGTCTCGCGGTAGACGGGGGTATCGAGGGAGCTCGGCCAAGGCTCGACCCGGGACGGGAGCTGTAAGTTGAAGCTGCTGGTCTATGGTATCGATCAGGGGACGCTCGATTCAACGAAGGTACTCTGTATGAATGGCTTTGGTCAGTCTTTGGGCTCTTTCTCAGGGTGACAGTGGCTTTCAGGGTAGGGGCGCGGCCGACGAAAGTCAACGTCTCCCGACTGCGGTTGAGGCTTTCCTCTGCCTCTGCAATCAACGAAGACACCGGGGATGACACTCTCGAGCCTCGGGCGGCAGACTCTGTGGGAGAGTCGTTCCAGGTTACATGCGACACCTTTGGGCCAGGGACAGGCTTGCGCTTCGGCGAGGAACTCTCATTGACTTGCTTGGGTGAATTGGGAGCTTTCACATACGATCTGTATTCGTCCGGGCCCTGCGGGAGCAGTCTCAGGGACGAGTTGTTCCCGTGCAAACCCATGCTATCGTCTTCTGTCGGGGGAGTGTTAACGTACGAAGGAGGGCCATCACCATAGCTTGGAGGTGCTCGAGTAGGAGATGGAGGTCCGTCCATGATGGAGGAGTCGGCGGCCGACGGGTTTGTTTACTCGCAGGTAGATGTGGGATCAGGTCGGAAGTGAGTCCATGCGCAGGAAAATGCAGATATAGCTGTCTGAGGAAGAGACACACGGACGGATCTGTTTTCGGCCGGAGAATAAATCGTCGAATAGGGTTGTATGCAGCGTGCGGAAGCTTCTTTGCCGTGGCATAGATGAGGATGTATCGGCAGTGCATCCCAATGCGGAAACTGTCAACTTGCTGGCCCAGCAACCACGCAAGTCTTGGCACCTCAGCCTTGCGTCACGTGGGGTCACGTGGCGGCTGTCTCCAGTGAAACACACTGCCAATTCCATCCCTTCTTCACTTTGACCATGCATCACAATCACAGCCTTGCCACAAGGCAGCTTGTCCTCTTCTGCTTGAACATTATCCTTGGTTTTCGCACAGAGTCCCTTGAAAAAGGTTCCAGGTAATCTGATAATCTGATTATCTTGGAATCTCGGCGAGACATATCCTGTTCTTCTCGCCGTCCGACGCGTCCGCCAGTTTGCCGCTCCTGGGAGATGGACCCAGGTACCAGGTACCAGGTAGGTCATGTGTCAGCTCACGAGAACAGTGGGCTTGGTGGCATCGACAGCTTTCCTATGTTCACACTCAAGGCAGCGTCTTCACACAGACCAGTTGTCACTATGCAATCCGGACCCGGACAAGATGAACAAAGAACAGGCCTGCTCCTTTCCACACTCCTTTATTCACCCCCTCCAGAAATAGAACTCGACAATTTATTCATCTGCGTCGAGTACCCTTGTGCTGGCCCTCGCATCTTTTCCTGCTCGAGTCCCTCAGTTTCTTGTTTGGTTACGACGTGTCGCAACTCCAAAACCCACACATACCACCCCCTCCCCCATCAGACACACACCTTACTTTCCTATACGGAGAAGCCCAGAAAGGCGCAAGGGAAAATGTGCCACGCGACAGTCTTCCATTTCACCTGTAGCTGCACTCAAGAGGTCAGGAGATATCTGTGTGCACTCCCGAACGAGGGGTGCCAGAAAACACTGAGAGATCCTCCTCACCAGAATCTGGCCGGTCCATGCCCTGATCACCGACGCTCTCGACGAGGAAGGGATGGCGGCGGCGGCGTATCGGCCTCGCCGAGCGAGTACATCCACCCAGCATTTCGCAATGACCCTCCGCCTATTCTGCCCAGCCAACCTCAACCTCAGCTTCAGCCTCAACGAGCCAACGTGGTAGCCAACCGGCCCATGCGAACTCGCGTGGCTGCTGCGCCTCCTTCCTCCTACGCCGAACAGCGCGGCAAGCGCTCGACCGGCAGTCGCAGCGGCAGCGGCAGCGGTGGTAGGTATCCAACAGCCATGTCGGCCACGATGCGCAACCCAGCGCGCGACCTGAAGGACATGCCGGCCTTTCACGCAACCTCGCCGAATGGCCGCATCCAGGCGCACGGCAACCTGCGCGATGTGCGCGAGGTCCCACATATCCCACAACTGCCACCATCTCCGCCCTCGCGTCGCGCGATCCGGCGCAAGGCTTCCATGTCTCCGCTGGTCAGCAACGCAGGGGTGGGCAAGCCACGGCGCGCCTCGCGGTCTCGGGCCTCTCCCTCGCCCATCTCGCCGCTTCGGGCCCACAACGCCGGCAGCTACTCGGAAGTGCGCAAAGCAGCCCATCTGCAGCGCCAGATCGAAGTCCGCCGCCGCCGCGAGCTGTACGAGGACTGTGAGCGACTGCTAGCCTCGCGCCGCTACACCAAGGACGAGCTCCTGCACCACCGCCTGATCTTGCAGTTGCCCGAACGCGAAAGGGAGAGGCTGTTCTTGGAGCACGAGGCTCGCGTCCGACTCCGTGACCCGCAAGCCGACAAACGAAGGAAGGGCTGGGAGGAGAAATACGACGAATATCGGCTCCAGCAAAAGAGGAAGAGTCGCTGCAATGTCATGTAATTACAGCCGACGGCGTTGTTCGTTGTTTGCTCGGGCCTCGCAACAGTGGAGCTCGGCATACCTGTAGTCAGACTGACTGGCACTGGGATCTTCTCTGACCTCGGCGGCCTCGCGGTCGACTGAGTCCTGATTTGGAACTCTGTGGTGTGTATGCTTTTATCGAGTGATGAACGCCGTGTGATATAGACCATGTCTGTTATTTCAGTAGGAACTCTGTCGGGTGTATGCTTTCGTCAGTGGTGAACGACGAATGATATGGACCATGTCTGTTATTTAGTAATGCGTAATGCACTGAAGCCTGCCCGTCGTGCAGAACAGTGACTAGTTAGTTCGGTTATCCAACAATCTCTCTTTACATTCAGAGTATGCTGTGACTGTTCTGTTCTGTGGACCTTGCTTTTGCCCTCTCCTCCCTGTTTTCTGTCTAACCCAAGTGAGCCTGTTGTACAATCGCCAGCCATACCATCATTAAACACTTCTCAAATTCCATTTCCATTTCCAACTCCAGCCCTCCTGCTATGTGGGGTATCTCCAATCAATCAGGAAAAAAACATAGGAAAAGCGTTGATTCCCCCCAGGACGCAAATCTTGTCCCATTGCATCATAACCTGACAACCAAAAGAACCCAGTACATCATGACCGGATTGGATGCCGCTGAACCCAGAGCACTCTGTTCCAAGGAGTACTCACATCGGTCATTTACTGTTGGGAACACCCCAGCCTGACGGTCCGTGGTTGGCATCGTGGTCCTCTTTAACCGTAATGGTGTCAGAACCGCGAGGGGCCGCAAACGGGATCGGCGACTGAGAAGTAAAAACTGGTAGATCCTGTTTCGTTCGTTGAATGGGCGTACTGGGTCTAGCTGACGTCGGCTTAGACAGGGCAGGATCGGAATCGATTTGTGGCGTTTGATGACCAGTCGATTGAGACTGGTTAGTGATCGAATGTATCGTGGAGGCAGAGAAAGGAAGCACGTTGTCAGAAGCAACAATAGCAACTGGAGCCGGGTCTGCTGCATCTTGGATTTGTGGCCCGTTGTTCACTGTCACCGGAGCTTGTGAGGGAAGCTGGGTTGATGGCAGACTAGTGTAGAGTTGGTGTTCGGTCGCCTGGTTCCCATGGTGAGAAGGCCCTGTTTCATGGGAGGTCTCATCTACATTGACTCCTGGCGTCACCTTGCTCGTAGGAGGTGTTGCTCGGGAAGTCTCGTTTTGCACAGGTTTAGGCTGGATCGGGACAAACTGGTCGTTATTCCCAGGTGGATCTGCCTTGATCACTCTGGCGGGCTTCGGCAGTACTGGTTTTCGGGGGGCGCGCGGCTTCTTCTGTTTGTCCTCCAACATCTTTTGTTGCTGTCTGGCAGCATGCTCCTCCGGACTTGGAACCTTTAGCTTGATACTGATCTTGTTGACTCCGCTCGTCAAGCTGTCCATCTCATCTGCGGTTGACGCCGCCGTGCTCCTACCTTGAGAAGGGGTTGAAGCTTCTCGCAACCCTCTACCTGCCTCCAGCTTCATCTGCCCAGCACTGACGGGTACGCCAGCCTTTGCTGCGGCTGCGGCCCCAGACACAGCCGGAGGAGTTGCCTTGGGCTTGCGAGGACTCGTCTTTGTTTTTGCCGGGCCCTTTGTCGTCGGCACTATTCTGGTCTTTTTGACAGCGACTGCCTTTGTGGGCTTCTCCGGAGCAACTGACGGTGTTCGAGAGGGCGCGTTCCCTGCACGAGTCATTGACGGATTTGCCCAATTGTCTACACCTTCCTCTGAAATCTTCATGCCCTGGAAACTTGAGAGAATGCTGGACGCATCGCTTGATCTTCGCCGAGGTCTGCTCTGGCCCTGTTCGTATTGCTGCAGCGAGGGATCGGGCAGATCACTGACAGCAGCAATGGTAGTTCGTCGATTGCCGTTGCGTGATGCCACTCTCGCCCCGGGGAGACCTGCAGGTGGTGCTTTCGGTCTACGGCCCCGCAATTGCATTCGCTCCTCCGGGACTGCTGAGGCTTCACTGTTGGAGACTCGTTCTCGGCGGGCCTTTGTAGCCTCTGCGTTCAAATCTTCATGCGTACAACTCAGGGTTTGTCGGTCGCCGGGAATGATGACCCGAGAGAGTTCGTAGGATGCTGTTGCCCAGTCGACATCAGGTGGTGGCGGCTCATATTCAGACTCTAGCGAGAGCCTGGCTTGGAGGGCGGCTAGGGATCGTCTCTCGCGCGCGTGGTCCGTCATCTTGAGGGTTGAGGCCTGAGTAGGGGACGAGTAATTCGCAGTCTTATCTCTCGAGGACTTTGCGCCTGGTGGTTGGTGTCCAGCAACGATCGCTTCTAACTCTTCTAGATTCTGCTCAGCCCACCACTCCGGGACATACGAGACGTTCCCCACAGACGCCGTGATATCTTGCGGAACCCAGTTATTGATCGTCTGAACTTCGCTTGCATCTAACATGGAGAACGTCTCTGTGTCCCCTGCGACAGTGTCTCCAGCCAGTCCACACATATGGCTGAATACCCCCGAGGTCAGCGCACGGTCACTGTATCCTCCTTCAAGGACACTGATCACGCGGCCATCGACCCCAAGCCCATTCTCGTGGGAGAGCTTGACAATGTCTGCGGTAAATCGGGCATAAAAGTCTGTGGGTACATTCACGCTGTGTCTCTGCATGCCTGCTCCCTCCCATTCACTTGCATCAAACCCGGCGGAGACGAAGATAGCAGCCTTTGGTTGCTGGTGCCCTGAGGCACGCAATTTCGCCGTATGGCTCCGTAGGAAGATCCTCGCCTTTTCGAGTAGAATAGCATATTTGGTCTCGTAAAGTTTCCAAAATTCTTGATCTGTCTTCCAGGGTTCCAAATGGACATTCCAAATGGACTGGCCATGGGCATTCTCAATACACAGACTCGCATTCCGGACCTTTTCCTCGTCGCCCCATTCACAAGGGTATGAGTTGATATCGTGTAGGCTGTAGTAGCCGATGGGAGTCTTCTTGTAAGCTGCGGCATTCCTGGCCGCGTTTTGGGCTTTGCGGTTCTGGTCCCAAGCAATGTTTTGCGAGCCGTCACCGTGGTGTAGGTCGAAATCAATGATGGCAGCATGTGTCAACCCATGGTTCATGGCCGCATAAGCAATTCCGACGTGGACATTGTTCAGCCAGCAGAAGCCAGAAGGGTAATTGGAGGAGCAGTGGTGTCCTGGAGGTCGTATACAGACAAACGCTCGATATGTTGTCGATGAAGAAAACACCGTATCCACAGCATCACAAACTCCGCCCAGGCAACCTTGAAAGGCAGCCAGAGACCCAGCGCACAGATAAAGGTCGCCTTCATGTAGTTTGGGTAGAGTGTTTCCAGCCTCGTCCTTACCATAGCCAATAGGCCTCACCAACTCCTTGCCATTCAGGGTTAATTTGTCTTCGGCCATGTCACACATGATCTGCAATTCTTCCATCCATTTGGAACCATGTACAAATGCCACTGAAGGGTGGGAGAGCGGGATGGTTCGAGAAGTCTTGCGAATCTGGAAGGGGACGTCGCGGACTTTTAATGAATCATGCTTTGGGCGGGGAGCATTTCGGCCGTCAGCATGTCGCCCTCCCAAGCGCACATAGGCAGCTGAGGCCCCGAGCAACGTGGCATGAATTCTCTCCGGCCGCTCGACAATTGTGGCCAAGGCGTTCTTGGAGGCTCGAGGGCGGGAAAAGCGATGGCCATAGCATGAATCGTGGACTATGACGACGACTGGCGAGTGCAAAGATCCATGCGCTTCTAGTTCTACCCCAAAATACTCTCTGGCAACCGAGCTGGCCGTCACCGGCGGACGTTCCTGGATCATCGGAAAGGCCATCTTGCCATTTGCAGCAGGGGACGAAGGGTTGAGATTGGAGGAGGCTCGCCGATATTGCGGCTTCTGGGGTGTTCCGCCTTTTGAAACACTCAGACTGGATGTAGATCTTCGCGTGACCAGCGTAGGAGTGGACTGTCTGTCCCCGCGATATGAGCTGGCGACAGATGGCGATCGTGACGGCGGCTTGGGCGAAATGGACTTTGTTGCGCTGGGGGCTGCCGTTTGATGGGGAGACCGCATAGGTGAAGAGGGAGGCAAGGGGACTGCAGCGGCAGATTTCAGGTGAGAAGAACTGTAATGGTTGAGGTGCATGGCCGGTGAAGCGAGAGCCGGCGTAACAGCAGCGGCGCTGGCGGCGGCGGTGGTGGTGTTGATCGCATTGATGGTGGGAGCGTCGTTGTTCTTCGGGAGGGCATCGTCGCCTTCGACTGAGGGCGCAGGTATATCTGGATCCATGCTTGTGCTTGTGTCGCTCTGCCTGGATCGATCAGGAGGATCTGCCCATCCCATCAATACGCAGAATCGCGATTCCGCACAGGGTATTGATAGTCTTGACAATGACAAGAGGATGTGGCCTTAGGACCTGGGAGAGGAGGTGGTCAGTGCAAGAGAGAGAACAAAGGGTTTCAGGCGCATGTTGATGGCTGACCACGTCATGAACCCTGCTAATTAAGTAGAGATAGATGCGATTAATTTTCAGGTCGCGTTCTGTGCCTGCGCGCGGACGCGTTTTGGGGGGATCAGGACTTACTCTGTATCCGTACTCTGTACTACTCTGTACTAGTTGTTAGCCCCTACTAGTATCATGGTATATCGCTGGTCTTGACTTGCCAGTGGTTCCCTCTTGTGTTTGTGGGTAGGTAAGTACTCCGTACTCCGTACTAGGTAGCTACTTGTGGTATCCAGTATAACAAGACATCAGCTAAAAGGACCACCTGCCCCCCTCCTGTTCCTAGAAGACTCAGGGACCCCTCTCCTCCCAGATCATAGGTATCCCGCCTTATCAACGATAGGGATAGCAATTTCTTGCCTAGGCCCGTGAGCTTCGACATAGCTAGTCCTACCGCTTGAGGCTGGCCTACAAAGTTGTTGCTCTTGAAGAAGAAGAAAAAAAAAGGAAAAGCTCCTCACAATGCCCATACCTCCCTAGGCACAAGATGAAGATGATACCAAAACTCGCCCAACCATCGGCTCGTCGACTTCCCTCCGTATATCAATATCAATCGAGCCTGTTGGAACTCACACAAAGCGCCCGCCGACCTCTGAGGATCCGCCCTTCCGCTCGGATTTGCCCACTAATCATTGGCCCACAGCACAGAAGCTGGATTGCAGTATCTCGTAGGGCTCTGTCGACCTCAAGGTCGCTGATGTCGGGGACGAGCTCATCCTCAGTCAGCAACAGGTACGTCGAGTTCGTTTGTTTGCAGGTTTCTAAGACTTCACCCGTCTACTCAGTGCACCATTGTCCGTTAACAGATCAAGGGGAGTGCTATTTATACTCTTTGCTTGGACTGATCGTCCGGCTGGCTTCGTATCTCACCCCTGCACATGTCAAGGATGATGAACCCGCTCTTCAGATCACCTCTTTGCTTCCCATATGTCCAAGCCGCCTCAGCACAGCACAGCAGAGCACAGCACAGCATAGCACAGCATAGCACATATCCCTCAATCAAATTGATGAAAACAAATAGATGCTCACAACTCAAGCAGAGCCATGGTTCCACGAATCCTCATTGTCGGGACCGGCAGCATCGGCAGTGTATACGCATATATATTCTCTCGGACCGTCAGCGCCGCCAACGTCTTCACTGTATGCCGGTCGAACTACGAAGTTGTGTCCAGACAAGGCTTGACCATCAACTCGACCGTTTTTGGACAGAACCTCAAGGTGCGGCCACAAGTGGTCCGCAGCGTCGATGAAGCCGTAGCCGAGTCTGAGGGCCAACCCTTCGACTACGTGGTTGTCACAGCCAAAGCCATCCCCAGCACGCCATCTATACCAGATCAGCTCCGCGCCGCGGTGTCGGAAAACACCACCATTGTGCTCATCCAGAACGGCATCGGGATCGAAGATATCTACCGGTCCGCCTTCCCCTCCAACCCCATCCTCAGTTGCGTCGTTTACCTGCCCGCCACGCAGATCGCACCAGGAACCGTCCAGCACAGCGAAGTCGAACTCCTCCACATCGGCACCTATCCGGCAACCGCACCGCCGCAGCACAAAGACTCTGCCGAGAGACTGGCCGCTCTACTGCACGCCGGGGGTGCCTCGGCCAAAGTCCACCAAGACGTCCAGCAGCAGCGGTGGAGCAAGCTTTTGGTCAACGCTTCGTGGAACCCGATCTGTGCGCTTTCGCGCAGCCGAGACGCCCAGTTTCTCCACTCCTCACCCTACGCGCCCGACCTGATCGAGGGTGTCATGCTCGAGATCGCTGCCATCGCCCAAGCCTCCGGATATCCGTCCATCTCCTCGTCAGTGGTCGACTACCAGATCGGCCGGGCCACCGCTCGTTCTTTACCCGGCGTCGAACCAAGCATGCTTGCAGACGCCGGCTCCGGCCGGAACATGGAGGTCGATGCAATTGTAGGAAATGCCCTACGTATCGCCGAGGAGAAGGGCGTCGATACGCCGCTTCTAAGGGCCGTGTATACACTGCTTAACGCCCTCGATGGAAGCTTTACTCGAGCGCGGCAGGCCAAGGCTTGAAGGATGGAATCAGACTTCAACTCCGACTTGATTGTCACCAGCTGTGCAGTTAGATTGGCTCCATCGTCAACCTTGCGGAAGAGACAAAGAAAGCAAAGTCAGGAGAATGGAATACGTCTCTATGGCCTGTCCATTCTACCCAGCACCACGATAGATAATAGAACACGGCGTTCTGATCTAAACATGGAAATAGATGGTGCGGAACATAGACCTGGTATCCAGAAAGGACCATTGAAGTGTTTCTGCCAGGCATGGAGGCTATATAGTACATCTCACATTGCATTGCACATGGCGAAATCGGGCTTTGCCTCTACTTACTGCCTTAAGCTGAAGCATGTGAACTTTGATTCTATCGTCTGAATCCATGGCATATGCCGCTCTACAAAGTACAGACACCGCCTGGCCTGTCAGGAGTGCACTTTGGCGCTCTGTTTCCTCGCTCTCAACCATGTGGGTCCCACCCAGCTTTAACTGATGAGGCTATGTGACGGTACGTTTGCGTTCTGCAATACCACACAGGGACAATGTACAGGGACAGGTACAAGGACACTTACACGCTCAGACCCTGTCACGTCCACATGTCTGTGTTGACCACCAAAGCATCAAAGCCTCAAAGCCTCAAAGCTCGATCCCGACACCCTGAAGCGCATCAATGGCCCACTGCGGCGTCGCCTTGTCGGCAAAGTATCGAGCAAAGAAGTCCTGTGCGAATTCAGGGTATCGGTCTTCCAGAATCGCCTGTCTGGCGCGCCGCATCAACGAGAGGAGATGATGTACGTTGTGCATCGTCAATCTGGGGACAAAGGGTCGGGCGGTCAGCTGGGGACGACTATGGCAGAAACAGGGTGATTCAACGTACAGATGTGCTCCGACCGTCTCCTTGGCTGCGAGGTGGTAGATGTAAGCTCTGGTAATTCCTAGGCCGCCATCTTCCTTCGAGCGACAGCATGTGCAGGTGCAATCGTGTTCGACCGGGCCGAAGTCTCGGGCGTAGCGGGCATGCTTTAGATTCAGCACGCCCTGCGATGTAATGGCATTGCCGAAGCGCTGCGTATTTGGAGAGGAGTCAGTGTGATCACAGCAGTTGTACAGGACCAGTCTCTCGGGAAAACGTGCTATAACTGGGATCACTCACTGCTGTTCTCGTAGGCCAAACGCAGTCGAACATGTCAGCCCCCAGAGCTACGGCGACGACGATGTCTTCGGGATAGCCCTTTCTAGGTCAGCTCTGATAGTCACTCGAGACGAACGATGGACGATGTGCCATACTATTCCCATGATATATCTTGGTTTGTTTTCCGGGAGGAGGTCGGTGCATGTATCAACGCTGTTCAATGAGCGGTAAGCATCCCATTTTCGAGAGGGGGGCCAAGAAGGGGGAGCTTTCTTACACTTTGCAAAAATCCGACTTTGCTTCCCCCCCGGAAAGCCCGCCGATGGCTATGCCCGGAGTATCTCTCTTGATCATTTCGAGACAACATTGTTTTCGCATCTCGAGGTCGAGGCCGCCTTGGATGATGCAGAAAAGGTTCTGCTTCTCCGGGTACTTGTGGGCGGCGATACATCTGTCCAGCCACCGGACTGAGCGTTCCATGGCCTCTTTCATCCGAGCATGATCCGGCGAGGTTGTCTGTATGACATCGTCCAGCTGCATCATGATGTCTGACCCAATGGAGTTTTGGAGAGACATGGAATGCTCTGGTGTGAGAAGCCTGGAGGAAAGAGTCCAATCAGCCAACTGTCCATAAGCCTGCTGAATAGGATCGGTCACTCGACATACATTGGACTACCATCGTGAGGACTGAGGAATCTCACTCCCTCCTCTGTTATCTTGGCCAATTTGAGCAACGAGACCATTTGGAAACTTGACGCCGCGAAATTGTATCAGTCAATCAACGTCCCGTGGGAGAGCGGTTCAACCGACTGGAGAGTGAATAGCCACCAACCCGCCACTGTCAGTCAGGATGTTGTAGTTCCATCCTTGAAGCTTATGAGCTCCGCCGATCGCATCCAGTACAGCCTGGCCCGGCTTCAAGCCCAAGTGATATGTATTGTTCAAGCACAGTCTGCAGCCTGTCTCTTCCAGCTGCTCTGGGGTCAGGCCCTTCAGAGACGCCTGGGTCGCTACGGGCATGAACATTGGGAGGTCGACTGGCCCATGCGGAAGGTGCAGGGTCGATGCGCGCGCCTTGGATGTCTAAGTCGAAGGGGAGACGTTTGTCAATGGCGGGGAACGTAAAGGATCCAGCGAGTGACTGGTAGATGAGGGTTTGCGTACCGAACATCGCGCTTGGAGGTCAAAGGCTAGAGCCGAGGGTTTCGTAGCGGTCGACATGCTCGTGACTCGTCCCAACACATGAGGATAGCGGGCGATGTGTCGCCCTGCGGCGGTGAGGATGTCAAGTCTTCGTTTGGTCGCGCGGACGATCGTGTGCATATGATATCTGCAACGGAAATGCGGCTGGCCGGATGTTACACCGGGATGGACTTCAGACGAGCTGGTTAAATCTAAGTAAGGGCGTTAGAGGCAGGTAGGACAAATCACGAAAGCCCTGTGGGAGCAAGGTCTGGTGAGTTTCAGCCATGTCATGTCGGAGGGTTTTCTGCCATCTTGGGCGGCGAGCCTCCACTGGTGGATTTGTTCGCGTACCCTGATTTGGCCCCATATCACCGGGCCACCAGAATCTTCCCCAGTGTCTCGTTGCACGGCAGTTGTAGGGCGCAAGGTTTACCAGATCTAACTTTTGCGCTCGATCCTTTGAGTGACATAGAGGTACACAATCTCCTGTGCAGGACCCGTGCATACACTACATGGTGCAAGGGTACGCAGCATCCATACAGTTCAAAAATCTTGGAATTCTTCTATCTATCCAAAGAGCGGTCAAATATTTCAGAAACGACTGAGGCCACTCGCCTGCCAGTGTAAACCGTCCCACACTCTTCCACACCTAAACAGAGTCTCTCTAATCCTTCCCTGGACTTCTGGGGCGGTGAGAAGGAAACAGAGGGTAAATTTCAAGGCCCGAAGAAAAAAGGTCATCCTGTGCTCCCCGTTGCCGCCATGACGCCATCGCTATGCTCCCCTTGAAATCCGAACTTCCTCCTTGGGCTGAGTGAGAAGCCTTGAGAACATGTGTTGGATTTCTCCACGAGCCTGAGGGTGCCCATCTCTGAGCTGTCGACTGGATCCCATGGCATAGCCACACTAGGCCGTCCTCAAATCAAGCATGCCGCACGACTAACGCGGCCAACCACCCTGAGCATAGCTTGGTCCGGCACGGTATGTGGTTTGTTGACCAGTGATCGAAGGGTTGCGGAGTTTGGTGCATGCGACCTCGGCAACATCTTCTTTGGCATTGTGCAAATACTGGCCATCGTACCAATACCTGGCTGCAAGATTCTGCCCCTGGATTGTCACTGTAGCAGACCAAGCGGTACGGCCACCTAAGGGCAGAGAGCAACAGTCAGTCATTGGTCAGGCTGAATGTCAGAAGTCGAGGAAGACTAGGAATCAACAAACCTCGACGATCAGAGACAATATTGAAGACAGGAGCAGGAAGTCTATGTCTCCGACATTCAGCTAGTAGCACGTTAGATGGCATGCATCAAAGGGTCAACAGCAGGGTTGCAGCACATACCGGCAAGTTCCTCCTGCCAGGTCTTGTGGGTTTTGGTAGCCATGGTGCAGTAGGGATCTGCCTGCTGATACAGCTGAGAAAGAGGTGGCTGGTTGTGGTTGATTGGCGACTTTGCTGGAGAGGGCTTGTAGTATTGACCAAAGCACGATGAGTTGAGTGCAAAACAGGTCGACGCAAGAGAGAATATCGACCTGCTTTATATCCAACAGGTCCAAAGGCACAAGACAAAATTTGGCCCAGAGCTACAGAGCAAGTGGTCAAAGCGGACACAACGAAGGATAGCTGCAGCAACAGCAACATTCGATCTCAATGACAGGTCTGCTTCTATTCTCCTCGCCTCATGTCATTTAAGGCACCAAGAACAACAGACCGGAACAAATAGAGGTTGTTTTTTCGTGCAACATGATCTGAGATCTGGTGACACGTTGTATCGATCAGTGGATGCCGCCCTGACATGTCTATAAAGGCCTTTGACGTCGCACAGATGCGAGCATGCAGAGAGGCGAGGTGTGTCAAGACGTGGGTAGAGGATGGGATGGCGAAAACTGCAGAGCAAAAAACCTTGGAGCGCCAGCCTCACCTAGCAGCAAAGTGCCAACACATCAGGATCCAGCAATGCAGAGCAGCGTGCGGGTCCGGCAACCAAGCAATGATATGCATGATGGCGGAGAGGGACCTGACGATGTGAGGATTGGCGAAATCCCCGTGCGAATCATACCTGGCCAGGATATCGAGGTGGGGCAAAGGACAGCTGTAAGCCCGGCGTCCGTTTGTGATGAAGCACACGATAGCGGGAAGGCATTGGGCCTGATCGGGTTATGCTCCCTAGTATCGACTTTGTTCTCAATGACGCACGCGGGCCGTCGGCAATGAAGAGACTAAGAACTCGTCTTGCTTTCTTTTCTTCTCATCCTGTTCTTCTACGGCCCCGGATTCAGGGCAGCAGGCCTGATTGGATGCTCTATCTCAGTTTTGGGGGCTTGATGGCCGTTGGGCAGCAACGCCAGTGGAGGGCCAGCATGCGTATACCGGCAGTCCACGTCTTGCAGTGCATCGAGCATCCATCCTCGCTCGTGCGGCCGAGAGAAAGGGGCAGGCAGAGGACGGTGAGGGTAGGAGCCTCGGTGCAAGTGTGGAATGTAGCTACTGGAAGTAGCGAGACGAATGGAAACGGTTAGACAGCAGGAAAATGAGATGATCGGGACATTCAGTAGTAGTACGGTACCAGTGGAGGCGTGGGCTGGTGAGGACTGCGTCGAACGGGCGAAAATTGAAGTGATGGGACCTGTCAGCACTGTTGACAAACTTTTGCCGACAAGGCCTGGCGGTTTTGGGGAGTGGCAGTTGAAGTCGAGACGGCCGTTGAGCGGTGGACTGTGTAGCCGGGATGAGGGAGAGGATGGACGGTGGTTGGAGAGCCCCAGGGCGAATGGAGACCAGGAGAAGATGCAGAAGGAGGATGAAAGGTCGCCGTTTGACGGCGGGAACGGCCTTCGACGGGTCAAACTGCGGATACCCACCCTTCCCAGCCGCTAGCTAGATCCGGTCTAGCCCAATATCTCTTCCTTCAGGCTCAAGTTTTGATTGCCGCTTCAAGGGTCACTGCAACTTTCAACTAAACTGAACTGAACTGGCTGATGGATTGTTTCAGGGGACCATGTGTGTATTGGTGCCAAGGCCCAACGCCACCACATTTTGATGCGATCTATTGTAAGAGACTAGGTGCCTAGGTGCCTAGGTGCCCCTGGCTACCTATCTACGATCAGCAACCAGGACGGATCACGGATCACGATCAGCGAACTCAAGGTGTTCTTGTGTTGCCTCGATGGAAACCATCGGGGAATTAGTATATTCGTCGACTCTGCATTTCGAGGCTCCAGGTCGTATGCATCATTCGATCATGCTCTGTCGTGTCCCACGACCCCGTGTCGCCAGATCATCCATCCCATGCCATCCACCTGGAGAACGACCTTCATGCAAATACCCATGTTGTCATCTCCCATGACTTGCTAAAATGCTTGCACTGTACGGTGGTTTTGAGGGACTTGGCCCAAGAAAACATTCTCAACACTCTCCGTCATCAGGCTGTTTCGATCAGGTCGCCGGCCTGCATCCTACACCGCCAATAGGGTTTGTGTAACGCAACTCCAATAGGAAACTTCGTCCTGCTCCTTCCACAATTTGGACAACATCAAACATGGCCGTGACTTGTGCTTCCAGCCAACTAATAGCGGTGAGTTTCATGCCAGTGTCGTCTGATGCAATCGTCGCTCAGAGCTATCAATCCTGTGGCGACGATCACATCGCCGAGATCGCTCGACACTTTCTTCTCCGTGATTCGCATGCTACACGGCGGTACCCAAGACCCTTGAGCAGTTTCCCGCTTGCACTGCTTTGGCGATAATCTGTCCGGGGTGAGGTGAGCCAGGCAAGTGCCGGTAGTCAGGTTCACCAACTCGAAAGAGAAGACCGACTCTGACCCGTCCTGGAAAACATTTCGTCTCCAGGTGTATCTCTCCCCCCAATATTCGAAATCGTACGAACTGCCCTCTCCCCGGCCGGAACGTTGGAGCTCGACCTGGGCATAATTTGAAAACTCAATCCTGATAGCATCGGTGGGAATGGTGGCCTTCACGTCTGCCTGAGCGGTGAAGAGACCAAGGTCGTCATCGGAGTCGTCATCCTCCTGCTCATGAGGGCTTTTGGTAGGTTTCCGCTTCACGGCCAGCGTCTTGAGACTGACGATATTGAGAGCACCACCCAGCTTCTTGACTGGCCGCGATGGTTTGGCAATGGGCTTCAGATATTTGCGCCTCGAGCTGCAGACTTCCCGACCCGATTGCCGATGATATCGACGGAGCGAGAACTGGCGCTCATCGAGGTCGTACATGCGCAGGTGGAAGAGTGTCAGCTTCAGCTTCCGGCCCTGGGAGAGAAGCATCTCGGTGTCAACTCGAAGGTTCAGGTTGCCGTCTGGGGTGGTGTCGTCATGCTGGATGAGAAGTCTTCTGGTAGATGGGAAGAGCTGTGCAAACTCGGCAGGTGTGGTGCCAACGGCGTCGGGTTCATAACATATCTGCCTTGCTAGCGGGCAAAGGCTCGGTGCTTTCGAGGATGCTTCCTGTGAAGCAATGGTGGAAGCATAGGTCTCGCTCGACGCTCGGGGATCGATGTCTTCTTCGTCCCCGTAGGCAAAGGGTTCGACAGCCACCTCGGCTTCTCCACAGTTGTAGCAATGCTTGGTGGTGGATTTTGTGTCGCTATACGAGGTGAGGGTGGTGTTTTGAGTGTGACTAGAATGGGCGGAGTCGTCGCTGCGGGTTGAAGCGGAGCTAGCGGATGTGGACGATCCCTGAGGCCAGATACGGACGTGCGTATGTATATATCGCGACATGTTGTCGAACAAAAAAGCTGTAGAAACGTGTCGGATGATGTATAAGGGGATATGGACTCGAGACTGCGTTATATTGAGATGTCAAGGAGGTCTCAGCAGATGCAACAGATAAGTAAATCCATGAATACGTGGGTAGGATTACGGCCAGAAGGAGCGTCTCCCACGGCATTTGAAAAGCAATCAGAGGCATTGCGGTGATTGGCGTTGGCCGCAAAGAACAAACAACATCTCAGAGGCGGAGAATCACTCCACGGATGAATTGGCACAATGATGTGGAAGCGATTGTCGGTCGCTTCCAGTGTCCCACTGTCCATCGAGGAAGGGACCGCGCCGATGGCGCGACGCTTAGGGGTTGCAAGCCCGAAGCCGAGACCAGGCAAGACGGGAACTGACCGGAATTGGCCACTAGATCGATTTGCGGGTGGTGAGGTGCTGACCCTGACTAGAAGCCAATCCCATTGCACACCTAGTAGCATGTTTTTCGTCAGCCGAGGGGTGACCGTGAGACGGCGGCTGTCGTTAGTGGTAGTAACAGTCATCCGTATCTCAGCGAACTCGCTAATAAGGCACTACCCAGCGAGCATTTTTCTCCGTGTAGTGGAGGCGAGTTAGGGTCAAGCAATAGAACAAACACCAACGGAGAGGGCACGATGGTACACTTGTCAGACAGAAGCAAATAATTCAATGGGTCTGGTCTGACGGAGACCTCCGCTTCACAAATGAAAAAAGACTCGCGCCCAACCACCAGGGCAGCCGGTGGTTTTGGGGGGTTACAATCAAGCTGCCATGTCAGACGAATTGTCCTCAGTGCCACTACCACTAGCCACCATTAGGTACCATTAGAGTTGGCCGGGATGACGGGACTGCCGCAGCTAGGCACTGGATTAGGACTAGCTGCACTCTGTCGAACACGTTAATTCAACAACCTACATGTACGCTAAATGTTCTAGAACTGCCGCCTGGCTCCCACGCTCGATCTCGATACAGGCAGGATACAGCGTGGCACCACCTCATTGGCATGCCCATACAAAATCGGCCGACACTCTCCTCCTCATACGTTGCTTCAGTGTTCGGGTCCTCTTCTCATCCATGCTTGCTCACCCGGATCATGGTCAGCGATGAACATGTGTTCACGCTGTATCCGTACCTGCACTTCCGTATCACCACAAGGCCTTCGAAGCATTGGCCGCTGCGCCTCAAATGGCCCCAAGTTTGGGCAGCGATATTTGCTTCATTTCCAAGTACTTTGTACTGAATTGTTACATCCCAATCGTGTGTCATTGTCTACCGTCTCTGTGTCCCGGACCTTAGCACGTGCGACCCGTCGCGTTTGTGGACGAGTCCGCTAATTAACGGTTTCTACTATGGGGTCGAGTGTGAGGCATTTTGCCACGAATCCGGTCCCCTGCCATGGAATCGTTACTGAGATTCACCCAATCTCTGACAACTGATATACAGAGTGGTAGGTGGCATCGCCTTGATCATCACTAAGCTGTCGCCGCGGCTCGAACCGCGGATGCACTCGATACCACTCCAGCATCACTAAGCCTTCACGGGCTCCTTCCGGACGGGTCCTCCGGTACTTAGCCAGTACGTCTTGGAGCATGGCAGGGTCCAGCTCTTACATTTGGAGACTTTCAGTCGACCTTGGTATGGTCTCTATGTCTGATCCGTTCGCTCTACGACTTCGCCGCCCCAAAAATACTGGCGCTTCACCTTTTGGCAAACCCCCCAACGACCAACACTGGTGATCGCGGTACAGGTCACCCTACAATACGGTGGATGCTTCACGATCAGTTTCCATTCCCATCTCTCCTCCTTGCACCACAGGGCTCTCTCGTCATGAAGCGCCAATGAGTGGGAGAAGGACTATCAGCATTTTACAGCACATTCCAGCTCCCTCCTCGACCTTCGTTTTGTAGCTTCGTCCCATGACAAAGAATACTACCGTCCATGATTATGACGGGGCCGCCTCACTGGTGGCAGCACGGTGCGACTCTCCATGGTCGACAGAATGCCATGAAAATCGCACCACCCCAACATGCGACCGGCAGAATTCACGACGACCTTGGCTCCAAAAGTTTGCTTGGATTACACTGATTGCCAGTTTCTTTGGCTTTCCGAGTGGTCGCTAGAGCTGAGGCGCTTGTGCAGCTTGCCGATCTGGGACGAGTATCAACTTCCACGGGCGTGGGCATGCATTATATCATCATGCAACCGTCGCAGTCGCCAGTGATACTATCCCTCGAATAGGGAGTTAATCTTGAGCGATGATCAGAAATTCGGACAGGGCCTCGTCAGCTACCTGTCACACCATTCCCCACAGAGGCCGAGGCAGCTCGAACTCTCGACCAACTTCAACACCACGACCCATGAAGCCTCTGGCTCTACTGTCCACACCGACATAGGCTAGTCTCCGCTTCCCTCCCCCCTCTACATCACGGGTAACACTCCAAGTCTTCAAGCCGTAGTAGCTCCCGACGCAATGAACAAGCCATCGGGCGAAGGCAGCGCCCTTGTCGTTGTCCAAGCTTTCAAAGACCACTTTCTCCGTGCTGACCGTCTCCTCCCATCCCTCCTCCTTTTGTCTCTTCTGTCTATCGGGAGAATCGTGCATGGCTCCGTTCCTGCCGATGAAGACAATTTCTTCGTCTTCTTCACTGTCGCTGGTCAGAGGGACGTCTTGGAGCCCTTCTTCCCGTAGTCGAGCCTCTTTGTCATTCCACTTTTGGACAAATGCCCGCACATTCTCTTCAAGATCGTGTAGCAGTCCTTTAGCAGCTTTTGCGCGTTTGAGTCTGGCACGGACTTCTTTTGGGATGCTGGAGGCCGCCTCCTCCATCGGGCTAACGCCCGTGTTGAGAGCCCTTTTCCCTCGCGATCTCGTACTATTCTTACGACCTTTCAGCTTGGCCTCGACCGCTCGCTGGAATTCGGCCGCATCCCACAGAGGCGCGAGGTAATACGGCACCGTACGGCGGGGATGTGTTGGGCGAATTTCCCAATCGGAAGGCAAAGGGGGTTCGACCCATGGATTCGACAGCAATCGATCTGTAGACCCTGATTAGCCCAGATGTAAAGCCAGGTTGTTGCGTCTAGTACCATTCTCCCAGCGTCGCCGTTGGCGCGAGCCCTCTTTGCCCTTGAGGAGAGCCTCTCGGTATTCCAGATTGTCGCGACGCAGGAGCTTCCGCTCAGTGAGGATTGTCGAGGTAGTTACTGTAGATTTCGGTTTCACATTGAGGGGAAGGGTGACTCGGACGGAGGGCCCGACTGTTGGCCGCGGGGGCGTCCCAGGGTCTATCGAGACATCCTCCATTCGCCTCGCAATCCCTTCTGAACTCGGTGCTACGTGAGGGGACACGAGCTCCGGAGCTACCATAATAGGGACAATGACCATGCTTCCGGTCTTGTGATCGTGGCGTACCCTGCCACGATAACAGGAGAGTACGTAATTTGTGTTTGTGCACGGGACAAGGAATCGAAAAATAGGGCGTACTGTCTAACCAGTCGAACACATTTATCAGAGAAGTAAACTTGGGATGCGAGCGATAGAAGAGGAATCAGACCCGGTCCCAAAGCCCTGATAGTAGACGGAGCAGTCGGTTGAAGAGCTTCGGAGTCTCGGACCACTAGAAGTGGGAGTCAGAGCCTCCTAAGCCTGACCAATAGGAACAAACATCCTCGCAACAAGCTGACGGGCCTTAGGAGCCCATCATCAGACATCGACTATTACTCATATTGTGAATGCCTCTGCGATGCTATCATAGACCCAGCGTCTATCTTGCATCCTTCCCAAGCTTTGTATGAGGGGACATGGGACATGGAGACGGCAACGATGGCGGATAGTAAACAGAAGTCTTGCTCCAGTGTAATTTGGTCATGGCGTCTTAGAGTTGGGAGACGTCGTCTTGTTTGCCTGGTGGCCCGTTGTTCCCCAGCCACCTAGGCCACCCTATTATTACACGGCAATACTACGGAGTAGACAACAACCATCTGCCTAAGGATACCACGTCTCGTCTCCCCTTCATATATCCGATTCTCCGTCCGATTGATCCCTTGTCCTTGTCTGACTAGATTCAGGGCAGCCATGAAACTCCCTTTGCTTCTCACCCTCGGTGCGGGCGCCTTGGTCAATGCTCTTTCCATCGACACTAGTTACCAACAGCAAATTGCGCTCGAAGACTCACAGCCCCTGGAGCAAGATCAATATCTGATTGAATTGAACCCTGGAAAAATCAGATGGGTGTCCGAAGAGGAGAAATGGGAGCTGAAGAGGGTATGGATTCCCGACCAGATGCAGAAACACCTTGCTAACCATGGAGCAATCAGAACGGCGTGAGGTTTATGGACATCACGGAAAATGGCCACACATATCCCTACGTCGTAACCTCCGAGTCAGCATCCACTGCCGTCACCTACCCTTCGAAACCAGAGCACAACGAGACGGTCAGGTCGCTGGCGAAAGTGCTGGACAAGGATAACATGCGAAAGCACCTTGAAGGACTCACCTCATTCCACACTCGATACTACAAGAGCCAGTCCGGCATTGACGCAGCGACATGGCTATACCAGCAGATCTACGAAACAGTCTCAGCTTCTGGAGCCTTCGAGCACGGAGCCAGCCTGGACAAGTTCGCACATCCATGGGGCCAGTTCAGTATCATTGCCCGATTTCCTGGAAAAACCAACCACACTGTTGTGATCGGGGCGCACTTGGACAGTATCAACCTGTTCTTGCCATCAATCCTCGCGGCGCCCGGGGCGGATGACGACGGGAGTGGCACCGTGACCATTCTCGAGGCTCTTACAGCACTTCTTCGGTCCGAGGACATTGTCCAAGGCCAGGCAGAGAATACGGTGGAGTTCCACTGGTATTCGGCGGAAGAAGGAGGTCTTCTGGGCAGCCAGGCTATCTTCAAATCCTACCATGAGAACAAAAAGGACGTTAAAGCGATGATTCAACAAGACATGACTGGCTACGTGGAGCAGACATTGGCGCATGGGAAACCCGAGTCGGTTGGGGTGATTACGGATTTTGTCAACCCCGACCTCACGGAATTCATCAAAAAGATCATCAAGGCGTATTGCGATATTCCATACACTCTGACCAAGTGCGGATATGCCTGTTCGGACCATGCCTCGGCGAGTAAGTATGGGTATCCCTCGGCCTTTGTGATCGAGTCGGACTTTGAGTATTCGGACAAGAAGATTCACACCACGGAGGATCTAATCAAATACTTGAGCTTTGATCATATGTTGCAGCATGCGAAGATGACGCTGGGATTCGCATACGAGGCTGCCTTTGCCAAATTCTAGGAAAGCTAGCCATGCAGTGTGTTTGAAGCAAGGCATGTGAAATTGACTCTGAATGATGGCATATAACCCGCAGAGATATTCTGCACGTACAACAATAGAATAATATCCGCAGCTACTCTCCTTCCGTGTCTTGAAAGAATTAAACTCGATCAATCCATCCGCTTTCTGCATCTGTGTTCTGCCAGTGTGGCGCTGCACTGCAACATAAGACCTGTGAGAGCACGTGAGGGCGCATTTGCCGGTGACGTCAATCCCCCGCAATTCAGCTTCATTGGAGAGCGGTGGCCTTGTTTCTTCCCATCTGCAGCCCGTCCACAAACTCGACCTGGATTCTCCCTGCGTTAGACCGTTTCGAGTGACAGGATGAGATCAGTGCTGGTGCCTGCTGCTACTTAGGACAGGCGTAACTCCTCACTTCATACTTCTCTTCCCATTTTGCTTTTACGAGGAACTTCCCGTTTGACGCCTGCTGCCTCATTCTCTGCACCCTTGTTCGGTTCTTTCAGCCTCAGGAACTCGTTTTCGAAAAGACTTTCCACCCAAGTACTTCGAAGACGCTGTCTGAATTTGACCGAGTCTGCTCAAGATGCCTGCAAGTGATTGTATGGAATCGAAACCGTTTGCGGTGAGCAAGTCGTTAACGTTCTCTCTCAGACAATCCGTTCGCCAAGCGCGAAGAGTTCACACGGAACAACCTCATCGCCTACAAGGTTCTCACAATCGTCACCTGGCTTCTGTTGGTCATCGTTGGAGCGGTCTACACCTTTAGCCACCCGGAGGACTGCCGACACAGGCACCGATGCCACACAATATGGGGACAAAACAACCACGTGGTGACGCCCTTCACCCTGAACTCGGTTCTCACAAGCATATACTGGGTCGTGGTTTTGATTCTACAGGCACATTACATCCGGTATTTGTGGAGTGCAGACAAGCAATTTGTAACAAATGCTGCCAATGTTGGCAGCCACTTCATCTTCGTAAGCGGCTCCAATCTTGCATATCTGGGTTCGGAGACTGACAGTTTCCTGCAGCATAATCTACTGACCTTTGGCTTCATCATGCTCTGGGTTCGAGGCCACTTCTGGCAAGGCGAGCTGCTCCTTATAATCAACCTCTTCAACCTCACTCTGCTCTATTTCGGCCACCCTACCACGCCGCTGTTCATCCACATTCCAATCGTGTCTGCTCCTTTGGCCTGGAATTACGTCGCCATCCTTTGGGACGGAGCAGCCATGGTCCACGCTCATAGTCTACCCGCCAGAATCGTGGCCAACATCTTCATCTGGGGTATTCTGGTCCTCGGTGGCTTCTTTGTCTTGACCTTCAAGGACTATACCATGGGGATCGAGTTGGCAATTCTGTCGCTCTGTAAGATCCCCAATGTTTTGATCTCAAACCTCGTACTGATACTGCAATTTAGCTTTGGGCCTGGGACAGGTATCTTCCCATGTCATCGCTCTTCAGTGGATCTTTGCCTTTGTCATCGCCGGAGCTCTGCTCGTTTTATCACTGGTAGTTGGAGCTCCGAGGCTGTTTGGACAAGATAATAGCATCCGACAGGAAGGGGCAATTGTCAGTGAGGACCGAGAGCGAGCCCCATTGTTGGACGACCAGTGAACTCGTTCGCTGTTGTCTATGTGGGCCATCCCTTTGAAGGCAGGTGCTGGACGGTGTGGAGAATAACAGGAGATTCGAATGAGCTTCTCTACTGAATTGGGAGCCTGGTTGCAGTCGCTGGCTGCTTTTTGAGCATGCTGGGGATGGGTACTGTTTGAAAAGGAAAAGCGAGCCCCCGTGGAAACCTCATGTTACGGAAAGGCAGGTATAAAATTCGGCGAGTAAGCTGATTCCGCATGATTTGCAGAGGCGTTATTTGTTGTAGGAAATTGCAGGTGCTTATCTGCTGTTCTGAGTTGAGGTCCATTGTTACTTCAGGCATCGCGGCTCTTGCCCACGGTTGCCTTAAAGCTGGTGGCTGTCTGTGCTACAATACAACCTGCAAGAACTGGCACTGCAGTTAAAACAGCTGCATGCCCCTCCTTCCTAGATTCCTTTTAACCAAGCGGTTGCTAACTTCGGGGGAAAAGGGCTGTTGGCCCTGGTTGTTTGAAGGTACATACTAGCCTTTGCCTGTTGTCCAAACGTTATTCTCACCCTGTATTATGTCTCGGACCTGTGTTCACCATCTCGCAATATCTCTTTCACCTCATCTGTTTGTCACTTAGACCTTTCCCCCCCCTCTCTCCGACATGCCAGGTACCAAGGAACTCTAGGAAGAGATAGCGGCACCGTCCCAACTTGCCAAAAATCCACTCTCCTTCTGGCACTCTTCTGATACTACCACTCCAGCCTCGTCCAAGCTAAGTGCATCTGCCGCGGCCACATGGCTGATACCATGGACAACTTCAAATCCAGCACCGCATTTATCAAAGAGCCCAGTCCTGACGATCCGCATCCCGACCTCGACACTTCCAATCCAGTGAATCTTACTCGCCTCGCTGCTCTCTTTCAAACTGGCTGGACACTCTCACGCGGTCGTGGGCCTCGTGCACATGACCACTGCCTCTGGTGCCGCGGGCCCATGAGTGATTGCACCCAGATTCTTGTCCACACACATCTTCATTCTCAGGGCCTTCCTCTCCCTTTGTCCCGCCTTCCTGGCCTTGACTACGGATCTGGGACGGGCTTTGGCATGGGGTCAGCAACAACCACAACCGTGGCAGCGGGAGCAGGAATGGGATCGGGACTGGAAGCCACCCCTAAATTCAATAGTAGTGTAGCGTGCAAAAACGCTTGGCCAGTCTCATGTTTTCTCGTATGGATCAGCTCCGAGTTGGACCGTGGGATCAACAGCCGGGCCGGTGCTCGGTTTCTGCGCTGCCCAATGTGTCGATGCGAGTTCCACCACCGTCGTTTCTATTTCTTGGTGCATGACTTTGCAAAGCCTGAACCCAATTTTGTGCCTGCTGCTTGGTTTCGGGTTGTGCTGCTCAGTCCAGAATATGTCGAGGGACGGCGCCGACAACAGCAACTTGCGGCAGACCAAGAAAATGAGGAGCGTCTCACCGTGATGGACCGTACCGAAGTGGCAAAGTTACCGCTTTTCGGCCGTAACAAGTGTTTCTTCCAGAGTATTGATGGTATGGTTGTTGGCAAGAGAGACCATAAACAAGAACGAGAAAGCCGGAAAGAACCAACACATGACCTTCCCCACGAACAAGAGCATGTGCAAGATCAAGAGCGAGAGAAAGTGCAAGAAGAAGGACCCCAAGACCATGTCTTCAACACATGGGTGCTTTTGGACTGTGGAAATAACGAGTTCCACATGACTCCCATACCCAAACCTCTAAGTTGGAACAGCGACGACAAGAGTATTGATAACGATCACGCAAAGGCGGAAATATTTACTCCGACGGGGCTCAGTGCAACCGATCTCGTCAACGAAGCAACAAGCAAAGGAGGCCTAGCTGTTGCACTGCAGGCGTTTGTGTCGGATGGCACTGCTAAAGACCAGCATCCCCCGCTCGAGGAATTGAAAGCCGAAGGCAGAACGTACTATCGCCGCCAAATCCGGATATGTCACGAAAATTTACGGGCAGCGGTCGACGAGAGCGTCACGAACGCATACAGGCAGCGAATTATATGGTATGCGACGCTGCTGGAATACTTGTTTATGAGTATCCAAACCAATGAAGAGGAGTTCGCTATGATCAATTACTTCGACGACGACAGTCAACAGGAAGAGGAAGATGAAGATGGGGAAGGAAGCAAGATCACGGCACATGGAGATGGTGTTGCACCATGGGAGGATGAAGACCCTCTGGAGGATGACAGTTCCTTAGATGAGGAGAGTGATGCATGATAAAGCTATGTGGATGTCAGAATGAGGAGCTCGCTCACCTAGCGATGATCAGCAACCATTTTCGTGGCCACCGTGGCTGAGCAGAGCAATGTACAGTATGAAGATCTCCGCGCCAAAGAACGATTCTTCCAGGACGAGAACAGTGATCGACGATGACGGCCTTATTTCAGACGTTGGCATCAATGAACCCAACGCAGTAAAAGGTCGTCACGTTGATCGTGTTAGCTATGAGAGCATTCTGTCTGAAGTATTTCAAACACTACACATGCAAGACCATGGCCGTACACTGCTAAGGATCGTCCCGTCCACCAGCTTGGACTGAGGACAGTCCAAAGTACTCATTCGGACATGGTCCTACATGTGGTGTATTCGTATGCTCCCCGAGCTCATGCTGTCTCCTTTTATCCTTTTATTAGTTGACTCAGGTATCCCTTCGTCCCCGGAGAGAAGTAGATGCTGATCCTTGGTTCTATGGCACACAGGGCTGAGCCAATCCATGAGTACTGAGTCCCCATCCCAAACAAGCAGTGCCAGGACAGCTGAACCGATCCATCAGTGCCTAGTCATGTCAGCTCGTATCACCCTCGTGTCATATCAAATACCAAGTCGGCGCATTCAACGCTCAACGCCCTAGTCTCGATTCCTCTCCTTCTCCCTCACACCCATGCGCGCCTCGATCCAGTCTTCGATCGTGATCCAGCCCTGTTTGCGCGCGAGCACGGCATTGGAAATGGCCGGCTCCCATTCCCGCCACCATTCCTGCGCAATGAGGCCGGCGCGGCGGGTTTGCTCTGTTGTTGCAGCGCCGGGCTCGCCTTCGACCAGGGACGACGTGGTGCTGCGGCCTTGATCGGCAAACGCAACGGCAAACGCAGACCCGCCAGCCCCTGCTGTCTGTGAACTAAGGCCGGCCAGGTCCCAACGCGATTCAACCACCTCGTATCGCGTAAATCGATACAGTCGTAACATGTTGACGAACCAGTTACCTGATTGGCGCCGCACGGTGACATCGGCATACTGGACGGGGAACTCGACTGCGACAGTGCCGCGGTACCTGGTCGCGGCAATGAGGGTGCGGACCATGCCTTCAAGCATCGACGTTGGGAGGTTTTTGGCGACGCGGTGGATAGTGAAACTGGACACAAGAGCGGTGTCAGCCCCAATAGCTGTGTCATCAAGAGAACAAAAGAGAAATTTGTCAAAGCGAGCGCTCGTCAGAGTCTGGCGTGCTTTGCCCAAATCAACCGTAACCGGTCGCTCGCTCTCTCAAACTTGGTGAGGTTGAACTTGAGCTTGAGCTTGAGCTTGATGGTCGACTCACCTCTTATTCTCAGCCTTGTCTTCGCAGAACTTCTTGACCCATTGCTCCAAAGGACCCAGGGTGGTTTCACGTTCAGTACGACTGCTACCCGGCTGCTTCGGCGACGAGGACGACGAGGACGACGCATTCTGAAACGGTTTCACACGAATCCGCTTCGACGACCTCGTCCCGTCCAGACCAGCACCGCGGTCGCGATCCGTGTCCAGGAGACTAGTGAGGTTGATCTTCAACTCAAAGTCCACGATGGCCGTTGTCGACGTGTTTTCGGTATGCGTGCCGCGGACGACCATGAGCGGTTTGGGTGGCAAGGCAGCCTGCTCGTAGATGAATTTGATGAGAGCATACTGCGTGCCGGTGAGTTCAGGCCTGCTGGTGGTCACGGTCGTGCAGTCGTCAGATAGTGTCGAATCGGGGACGCGGTATTTGGCGAAGTCGATGGTGGTGAGTCGTGAGAGCGCCTCGAGCGGATTCTGGCTGGGTATAGAGATCGGAATGGATGGTGCGCTTGTTGTGCCTGCGCTTGGTCTTGGGATGGGGAGAACCGTCGTCTCGTACGATGGAGGAAGATCTTGGGCCGCTGCTGAGGTGTTCAAGTTGGCGGCCGCCTGGAGGTTGGCTTTTTTATTGGAGGGCATTGTATCAATTAAACCGTGGCGAGCAATGTCGTTTGTTGTCGTAGGCGACCATAAACTGAGGAAGGGTGTATGTACTCCGTCCTTCGTCCTGTGCGGTAGAGCCTTAACAAGAGCTATCGGGGCTGTAAGGGTGAGTTATGTATATTCAGGCAACAATAGTGGCCCTATGCCTCTTACGCCGTTCCCTGGTTTCGTTCCTACCTACCTATACCTTTCGCAAAATCATCTTATTGCGGGAAGGTTGTTTTGCGGGAGGCCTGTGATCTCATGTGTCTCTTGCGCTCTGCATTGCACAGCCACAGTCAACCATGCAAGCAAGGATACTGCACATAGTGTTCGCCAGGCACCCGCCAATCCCACCAACCACTGCAGCGACTTTTGCTGCGTAAAAAGCCTTAGGGGCCTAAGGCTTAGGAGGCGCTGTCGCGGGTCGGCCACCAAGGGTTGTCCATAGTCCAATCGATCGCCGAGCGAATCGAGCTCTATTGGAGGGTTGGAGATGAAGACTCGGGCAATATGAATGGCCGTAAGCTGCGCCGCCTCGCTCGGTTCGGTCTCGCTCATAAGGTAGGCAGGCACCTAGTACGGAGTAGGGAGGTTCGCTTTTGGCAACGCGGTGCGGCTCTATTAGTGCTGTAACTCTGTGGTTGGGATATCGAGGACATCGATGGGGATGGTGGCTGAGAGACTTCTTCTCTCTAGGTGTCTAGGCATACAGCTCGTACTCCGTACTGTACTCCGCAACCAGTAAATTCAGTGAATGCCTAGCTGAGGCTGCTGTTGTTTCTCCGCTCCGGCCACATCAGCTTTACACCCGCACAAATGCCTGACTCCTGACTTGAAGACACCGGTATGATAGTAGTGGACTTTACATGTCGCTGTGGTGGGAGTGTACGGATATATAGTATCACACCACACCACGCACGAAGAAACGGGCCTACACGGACCTCGGCGCCTGGGGCTGCACCGTACTAAGTATCCAGATGAATCTCTTGCTCAAGCCATCGACATCGACATCAACGGTTCTACCTGCAAAAGGCCGAACCCCTCGCACCACACCCGGAAGCTGCGTAGGGGGCCCTGTACTGGATCATCTGCGGCGGCTACAAACATGATCACGGAAGCGCTGGTGGTGTCCAAGCCCGGCGCACCGTTTCGCTACCAAAAAGTCGAGCTCGACGAAACGCTCCGGGCCGATGAAGTGGCAGTGCGCATCAAAGCCAGCGGAGTGTGCCGGACCGATCTCAATTTCGCCAAAGAAGCGTCTGTGCCAGAGCTGTTTCCCGCGGTGCTGGGCCATGAAGGCGCCGGCATTGTCGAACGCATCGGGTCCGCCGTGACCAAAGTCTCGCCGGGCGACCATGTCATTGTCTGCTATTCGTGCTGTGGAGAGTGCAAGTACTGCCTGCGCAAGGAGTCGTCCTACTGTGACCTGTGGTTCAAGTACAACTTGGGCGTGGGCCGGCTGGACGGGTCCAAGACCTTCTCGTCCGCCACGGACGGCAGGCGAATCACCTCGCATTTCTTCGGGCAGAGCAGTTTCGCCCGGGACATTCTGGTGTCGGAGAACGGCCTGGTGCGGGTCGAGAAGCACATCCCCTTTGAAATCCTGGCGCCGCTGGCTTGCGGAGTCATGACCGGTGCCGGAGGTGAGCTTGATGTTCTGTTCCTTGACCATTCTGCGCACTGTGGCTGACCCCAGTCGTCCCAAAAGCAATGCTGAACGTGGTCAATCCTACTCACGACATGACCGTCGTCGTCGTCGGGGTCGGGGCTGTCGGACTGTCGGCAATCATGGCACTCAAACTACTCGAGTATCCTCCCAGAAAGATCATCGCCGTCGACATTGTTGCCTCACGTCTCGAGATGGCTCGCTCTTTCGGCGCGACTCACGGGGTCAATTCCAAAGTGCGCCCGGATCTGATGGCAGTGTTGATGGCCATCACTCACGGCCGCGGTGTCGACGGTGCCATCGACACCACAGGCCGACCGGAGATTGTCACAGCCCTCATTCACAGCGCTGCACGGAAAGGAAAGGTCGTGACAGTGGGGATGGGCGAGGTATATCCCCCCCGGAAGGCCAAGGCCCTCAGTATTGTACCATATCTGCTAATGACTTGGCCATCTAGCTCTCCACCGAAGTGTCGCACAATATATTCGAAATGGTTCAGGCTGGGTGCAGCTATATCGGCTGCAACCAGGGCGATTGCTATCCCCAGGAATTCTCCCCCGAGCTCTTGACAGCGTGGCAGCTGGGCAAGTTTCCCTACGACCGATTGATTCGAACCTATCCCGCCAAAGAGATGGAGCAGGCCGCAAAGGACATGCGTAGCGGGAAGACAGTCAAGGCGGTATTACTCTGGGACTGACAAACGGTCTACCGAGTACAATCCCCTGACTATAGCGCCGAAGAGACGGCCAGTACCAATCAATACAAATCAGGGGCTTACTTGAGACCCCGGCCAGGGCACGAGTCGATGGACTGTGTGACTGGTGTATACGTTTGAGACGATGGCGAGGCCATCGATAGACTAAAAGTACTCCGTAATGCTATGAGAAGCGAAACAGGCCAGCCAGTCCAATTTGCTAGGGGGTGAGGCTGACCAAGCAATACCGTAGCCTTGTCGCCACCCGCGGGGAAATCTGATAGGGTGGTTTTAGGGTGTGGCACAGACTCGCATCATCGGGAATGTTCCAGCCTCATGACAGCTCACAGCGCACTCTTTCTTTGCTTACCTACCTACCACCCTGCCCACCTTTTGGTGACGAACTCCTGGCCAGCCTGGTGTTAGTGGCGGCATGCATGCTTTGCTGCCTGTATACCGAGCACAGCTGTATTAGTCAGTACTAGCTGAGCCATTCACATCGTAAGGCGCTGGTTTATATACGAACTTGAACTCCCTCAGACACCGCGCCCATCATGTCGACTCCCACTTCCACTCCCACTCCTCCACTACCGTCCGAACCATCGTACACAGCCATGAAGGTAGACCCAGAGCGAGACCAAGACGTCGAAGCGATCGGCGCACACTGCGAGTTCCCCTACTGCCACCAGCTGGATTTCCTACCGTTCCGATGCGACTCGTGCCACCACACGTACTGCCTCGACCACCGAAGCGAAACGGCACACAAATGCCCACGGGCCGGCGAGTGGGCGAGAAACAGACGGCGGAATAGCGTGGGAAGACCGTCTTCGACGTCTACCACCACCACGTCTGACACCAGTGGTGGTCGCCCCACGCACGCCAACACCGCGCAGTGCAGCAACCCGAGCTGCAAGACGTTTGTGCACACGCTCCAGAACCCCGGCGTGCACTGCCCACAGTGCAATCGGACGTATTGCCTGAAACACCGCATGCGCGAGGACCACGATTGCGCCAAGCTCGTGCCACTAGGTGCCAGGCCGCTCGACATCGCGCTGCAGAGCAACAAGGAGAAACTACGCCTCGGGTTCGGCAGGCTGAAGGCCTGGGGCAACAAGGTGCAGCAGGAAACCACGCTGGTGGCGAAGCCCAAGCCGTCCAGTCGCGCCGCGCAGGTCGCCGCGCTGAACGCGCTGAAGAAGAGCGCAAAGGGCGACGACAAGCTCGACCCGGCCAAGCGCGTCTATTTGCACGTCGAGGCCGAGGCCGCCACCACCACCAGCAGATTCCCCAAGGCCGATCTGTTCTTCTCCCAGGACTGGAGTGTCGGCCGCCTGCTCGACGACGCCGCCCGGCGCCTACAAGTCGCCAATGTGAACAATCGCGTCGAGGACGAAGATCAGCGCCTGCGCGTCTATCACGTCGAAGGGGGTCGCCTGTTGGAGTTTTCCGAAAAGGTCGGCAAGGCCTTGATCAGTGGAAATACCGTCGTCCTTCTGAGAGGCGTTGGGCCTAAAGAGCCGTCATGATCTCAGAGAAGTGTTGGTCCTAAAGAGCTGTCATGATCGAACATCAGATGGACAGTATACTGGGTGATGGCGCATTGAAAAGCAAACGAAATCATCCCCGTCCTACCTCTTCTAACCACGAAGCGCCGGGTGCGTCGTTAATGGGTGAAGTGGAAGGACTAAGGTGGAAATGTAATGCACAGCGACGGCGTAGTTGGATTGGATTTGGGTCCGGTACGGATTTTCTGCGCATCAGCCTTGAATCACAGCGTGTAGTCATGATTTGCTAGTATCTGGACAGATGACAGATACGACCGTATCTAAATCTTAATCGTGGATATCTTCTCAAAGATCTGCTTTACAAAGACGCCATGCAGGGCGTCTAATGATTCGAGACGAAGACAATACGTTCAGTCCCAAACGCCTCCTTGCCGGTGCGCCTCGCGTACTCGGACATGGCAAACATACTGCATATATTGATATCATACATCATACGCTCATCTTCATCTTGATTCCGCCATGTGGTTTATACCCAACGACTTCCAGCTCTTCGACCTTCCAGCCGTCCATCTCGCCACTTCCGCGGTCGTTGCGCTTGATGTTCAAGGTGGGGAACTCTCGCGGCTCTCGAAGTAACTGCTCCTTGAGGGCGTCGATGTGATCAAGATATACATGCGCGTCGCCCATGGTATGGATCAACTCGCCCGGGACAAGGTCGCAGGCATAGGCCAACATATGCGTCAGAAGCGCATAGGAGGCGATGTTAAAGGGGACGCCCAGCCCCATATCGCAGGACCTTTGGTACAGCAGACATGATAAATGTCCCTTTGGCCTTGGCTTGTCCGCATTCTCGGAGCCGTTGACCTGCTGCTGGACGGCCGCTTCGCCTCTGGGAGCGTCAGGATAGCTGACGTAAAATTGGGCAAACATATGGCACGGTGGCAGCGCCATCTTGGACAGGTCGGCAACGTTCCATGCACTGAGGATGATTCGCCGATCGTAGGGATTATGTTTCAACTTCCGCACCACCTCTTTGATCTGGTCCACTCCCTTGCCGTTGTAGTCTGCATGACAATCCTGGTATTCGGCTCCGAAGTGTCGCCATTGGAAGCCGTAGACGGGGCCCAGGTCTCCCTCTTCGCGCTCAGTAAATCCGAGATTGTCAAGGAACTGTCTCGAGCCGTTGCCATCCCAGATATGAATCCCGGCTTCCGAGAGTGGCTTGGACGTGGTACAGCCGGCCACGAACCACAGCAGTTCGGTGGTCACGGCGCGCAGAAAGACGCGCTTCGTAGTTAGAAGAGGTAGGACGGGGATTCGCTCAGTGGTGTCAGAGGAGGGGTCCGGCTTGGAAAGGCTGAATCTTAGTTGAGGAGGGCCGAACAGAGACAAGGTGCCTGTGCCGGTTCGGTCAGGGCGATGCTCCCCGCGTTCCAAGATGTCACGGATCAAGTCGAGGTATTGATATTCTTCGTGATGCGTCCCCTTGGATGAGGGAGTTCGCGCATTCGTTTCGATGGGGGATGCTTTGGTCATGGTGGAAGAGGTATTTAGTGATTCCTTTTGCACGGCTTTGGCGTTTTCTTTGAGAAAGTTCGTAGAGTCGCTAGGAGGCGAGACGCTGTCTATTTCAACTGCAGAAGGCGCCATTGCGGGATCCCTCATATAGGAACGTGGTGGCGCCACAACGGTCAACGAGTTGAGTTGGGTTGGTGTTGGCGATCGTGTCGGAAGTGCCTCGACGACAAACGCGAAACCGCAACGCCAACGCGACTTTGACCGCGTCGGAAATGATGTCATTTGAACTGCTTTTCCCCCCTGGCGTGCCAGCCTGAACAGTGAACTCTCTGTATATGAACTTGCACTTGATACGATCCTGTCAATTCTCTAGCTATGAAACATGTATGTATGCAACTCTAGATCCCGACAGCGTGTTCCCAATTGCCAATTGCTCCTGCACTGTTAGCTTCGCTAGTTACTCACTACTTGCGTGGCGACCTGCGCACAAGCTTGCAAGGTCGGGAACTGGATTGGCAGCAAACTCGGTCAGCAACTTCTCTGCCTCCGTTCGGATGTGTTCGGTCGATGGCAGCAGTGGAAGGTCTTTGTTTGCATCTTGGTCGTTGCTGGCCTGCTGCTCACATTCCTCCTGAAATTGACGCATCAGTGTGCCTCGGAACTTGATTGACTCCAAGACTGCTAGATTCTTAACCCAGAATTTCAAGCGCCAATGGTCGGAAGTTGAGGAGAGATGGAACCAGTTTCTGGTCGTGCCCGAAAGATCGACAATCGCAACAGTCAACCCGCAAGCAGACTCACGTTTGCTTTCTTCTCCCGACGATCCGTCGTAAAGTGACAGCTTCGCCATTGTCTTAGGCGTCTTCCGTGAATATCGAAGCTGCGGTGGGCGCGATGTTGACCAGAACACAATCTAGTTTGCGCAGGAGAGATTTGTTGAGGCTCGTTGCAAAAGTCCCTCCCTCCAAGGAGGATATTGCAATCCATCGTGATATATAAAGAAGCGGCACCGACGTGTGATATCATTGTCTGTGAACAACGCTTTCTTTGTTGACACAACATTGTATGAGACTACAAGACACCCGGTCAGAGAATCGCATCAAGGAAACAATGACTTCGTGGGCCATGTTTGTCAAAGAAATGGACAAGACAAGGAGAAGCACCGACAGGATGGCTGTGGCATTGAAGGACTGGAGTTCACCCTCAAGCCAACAATGACAGAGATGATCATGGCGACGGACCAACTATTGCTATCTAAACTACAGCTTAGTCTCTCGACGAATCTGCAGATCATACCTGTTGAGGTCTTTTATGCTCCTTTTGCCCAGATTCCCCAGCATATTGTCCGTATCGGCCAGCAGGCACCGGAGGACATGTTCAACCCCTTCCTGTCCACGAATGGCAAGCCCGTACATGTATGGTCGACCTATACAGACGGCTTTGGCGCCTAGTGCCAGCGCCTTCAGCACGTCACTGCCACTACGGATGCCACTGTCGAAGATGAGAGTCAGTTTCGATTTTTGGACCCGTTCATCTGCGGCGATCTCGGCCAGGGCATCAAGTGATGCGATGGCACCGTCGCATTGTCGGCCGCCATGATTTGAAACAATGATGCCATGCATGCCATAATCAATGGCTCTGTGAGCGTCCTCCACAGTCTGGATCCCTTTGAGAACAATGGGGCCGTCCCACAGCTTCTTGAGAATTTCCAGGTGCTGCCACTCACGATACGTGCCCGAGTTCATGGTGTCCAGCCATGCCCTGGACCTTTGCAAAACATGTACATTCATCAGGACTCGGGCCGCACCGTATATTGAGCCAGGCCTCTTCAACATTGACCAGAGCTCTGCCAATTTCTCGCCACTGCTCCTTGGATCACTTTTCTGGATTTCCTCATATCTCCGGTTAAATACTGGGTCAGAATGCCCTATTTGGCAACCATCGCCCCAGAGGAAGGGCAAGTAGGAGTTGTCGAGATCTGTGGGTCTCCAGGCGAGGTTGAAAGTGTCCAGAGTCACGACCAGGACCTTGTACCCGTTGGACTTTGCCCGGTTCAACAAGCTGACCGTCACATCTTCCCACTGAGGCCTGGGCCAGTACAACTGATACCAACGGTCGCCGTCAGTATTCGCTTGAGCAACTTGCTCGATTGTACGAGTGGCGGCAGACGATAGGATCATCGGCACGCTCAGTTTGCGACATGCTCTGGCTGTGGCTTCCTCAGCATCGCGGTGCATGATGTTTTGCACACCAACAGGGGCGACAAGCAGCGGACTCGGGTATCTGGCACCGAATAGCTCGACACTCAGGTCTCGTCGGGTCGCGTTGACTAACATATGTGGGCGAAGACGGTAGCGGTCGAAAGCTGCGATGTTGGCGGCATGGGTCTGACCACTGCTCGCTGAACCATAGACATACCCGAAATTCGCTGCGGGAACTTTGGAGCGGGCCAGTTTTTCCCACTCAGCTGGTTTGGTCGAGAAGACGGGAGCCCGGAGGGATGCATAGATCTCTCGTTGGTAAGCAGAGTAGTTGTTGGGATCTGGTTCGACGTAAGGTCGGTTCCATTGCTCGGGCTCGGGCTTGTTTGCCATGGTAGACACTGTTCTGATGATGCAGAGAACTGTTGAGACAACCCACAGCCGTCCGTAGAGAGTGGTTCTGCAAAGGAAGATGGGAGAGACGGGGATGATATGGAGTTCAAAGCGAAGAGCGCTCGCATGCCCTTAGGCCGACGGGAGACTACCGAGGCTTGAGGGGGTCGATGTCGGGACAAGTTCTATATACCTAGCAGCATATTTACCACACTGATTGGATTGGTCGTTCCAGCAAAGCCACTAATATGACCCAGACTGGTACCAATTTGCGAGGACTAAGCGAGCTAGATACATCCGGAGCTAGCTATATTAGGACTAAATAATTGCTAATGTCCTGTTGGTCCCACCTGCTGCTATGACGTCGAGCTTTCTATCTGGGCTGCGTGTGCATCATATCGTCTTCACACTGTTCCAAGTTTCAGGTCGAGCTTCTGGTGAAAGCAAACCAATATCTGCTGTCGACCACCTTTCCTTCCCGACCTACCGCTGGTGGGCTGGCTCTTCATTACTTTCAGCTTGACCCGTACTCTCGCTGTACTCCTTTTCTCTGGACCGTCAACATGGCATCGAAAGTGTTACAGACCAATTACGATGTTGACTATGTCATTATCTATCGAGTGCCAAAAGGTGGTACCGATCTTGCCTATGATTTCAGTCCATTCACCTGCTGATATTGAGTAGATAAGGCGGCTGCAACAGCTCAATTCCAAAAGCTCATCCGTACCCTCACCGAAACTGGGCTGACCACCGAGGTCCGCCGAGGCGACGAAACATCCCTCCTCGTCTTTGTGAGGATTTCTGACGAGAAGATCTTTTCGAATGTCGTGTACAGGTCACGGATTAAAGACTGGCTCTACGGCATCCGCCAGATCCAGCCGAGCGGTGACCCTGGTCAGACTCTCAGTTCCGAGCCCCTGACTGATGCTGAACGACACCGACACGTGCATCATATGATATGTTTTCCCCGCGAAGAAGGAGGAGCTGGAATCACACCCAAACATGGTGAATGGGACAACGTCGAGGCTGTCTTTCCCTTGCATGATCATGCCCAGAACAAGAAATGGTTGACAGAATTCTCCCGCAAGACATTCCTAAACCCCGAAGACCTCGACGAGATCAGGAACACCGTGGGCGAAAAGGTCGGCCATCACACTCCTTAAAATCTTCAATTTGTCCTGGACTGACACTTGCAGATTGCATATTACTACGCCTTCCTCCAAACCTATTTCTCTTTCTTGATCTTCCCCGCAGCATTCGGGTTTTCCTGCTGGGTGTTGCTGGGCAACTTTTCCGCCATCTACGCTGTTGTCAATGGACTGTGGTGTGTAGTATTTGTTGAATACTGGAAGCGTCAAGAGCAAGAGTTGGCAATCCGGTGGGGTGTCAAGCATGTCTCAGCCATCCAAGCCAAGAGGAGAGAATTCGTGCCCGAGAAAATCACTACCGATCATATCACCGGCGAAAAGGTGGCATATTTCCCAGCCAAAAAGCGGCTATTAAGGCAGCTGCTTCAAATCCCGCTGGCCTTGCTCTGCGTTATAGCTCTTGGGACTGTCATCTGCACATGCTACGCGATCGAGATCTTCCTTTCGGAAGTGTATGATGGCCCGCTCAAGTCGGTCCTCGTCTTCACGCCTACCATCATTCTTACTCTGGCGGTCCCCGCAATCAGCAATTACCTGACCCAGTTTGCTGAAAAGCTCACTTTCTATGAAAATTATGAGACTCACGAGGCACATGACAGGGCTATGATCTCCAAAGTTTTTGTGATCAACTTCATCACCTCCTACACAGCAATCTTCCTGACATCCTTTGTCTATGTCCCATTCGCCTCCCTCCTAGTACCATACCTCGACATTTTCAGCTTGACGGTCAAGCCGTTTGCGGAGAACGAGAAACAACTGCAGACGCCCTCTGCCGCCTCTTTCACTATCGACCCCAATCGATTGCGAAACCAGATGATCTATTTTGCGGTGACTGCACAGATCGTCAACTTTGCCATGGAGACGGTGCTACCTATCGTTACGCAGAAAGGGACTAAGAAATACAAGGAGATGCAGTCCTCTCGAGCCGAAAAAAATGGTGGTGCAGCTCCATCTGTGTCGGCAAACGATCCGCCGGAGGAAAAGGAGTTCCTCACGCGAGTCCGCGAAGAAGCTGCTCTACCCGACTACGATGTCACCTCTGATCTCCGGGAAATGTGTATACAGTTCGGCTATTTGTCGTTATTCTCGGTGATCTGGCCTCTCACGCCCGTGTCGTACTTCTTCAACAATTGGGTCGAGCTGCGCGGCGATACCTTCAAACTCACCGTCGAGTGTCGACGGCCCACTCCTACTCGAGCTGATAGTATTGGCCCGTGGCTTGACAGCCTGGAGTTTCTCGCATGGCTCGGCAGCATTACGACTGCCGCACTCGTGTACATGTTCAGCGGAGGCAACGGACCAGATGGCAAGCCGCACACTATCAAACTCGCGGCCCTACTTCTGAGTGTCTTTCTCAGTGAGCATATTTTCCTTGTCGTTCGGCTCCTTGTGCGCTCGGCGATCGGTAAGCTCGATAGTGCGGCGATGCGAAAGGAGCGTAGTGAGCGATTCATGGTCCGCAAGAAGTTCCTCGAAGAAGCCGGCCTGGCAGATGTTATCAAGCCTATCACCACGGGCCCCAACAGCCCACTACAGGACGAGTCCGGGGCCCAGGCGTTTACGGAGATTACTCGGGAGACTCTGGAAGATGATGCGCGACGGGATAGTCTGTCGTCTTCCAACCCCACAGATCGATTCTGGAAACGTCAGCACAACTGGGCTGAAACGGAAAAGGTCGGGGTTGGACTGATTGATCTGATGGATCTAGGTTCTTCCACGACTAAAAAGAAGCAGTGAGGACGTTATGAGGAGTGGCGATCTTGCTGGCTGGGAGGGTAATCAGAAAGTGGATGAATGATGAATGAGTTTTGGTAGGCACCCTGAAGGAATGAGTAGCCTTATTCTGTTGGTGGGCGGTCAAGTCGAGTTTACTGTTTACATACATGAGATCAAGATTGGCGCAGCAGGAAACGAACAACAGCCGGGCAAGAAGCGATGGGAGAAACGACTTGGGATGAGCATGAATTAACCGGCGTGCCGCTTAGATGATAACGAAGCCTGGGAGTAGGTACATGTATGCAGGACAATGCTACCAAAAGTTTCCCCGGAGCGTTGTGTACAATCGGGGGCCTATGGATCCTATGGGTTCTTTGAATCTTGTCTCGCATCTGTTGCCCTCCCCCGGAGGAATGTATGTTCCCAAACTTCCGCAGTTTTTCCAAGACCACGAGCTCTGAGAAGGAAGGAAGGAAGGAATGAAAAGGAGGCTTGGTCACATAGGAAAGGTGGATTTCGAGGACACAGACACAGACACAGACACAGACACAGACACAGACACAGACACAGACACAGACACAGACACAGACACAGACACAGACAGAGACAGAGACACAGACACAGATGGCGATGGCGATGGCGATGGAGATAGAGGCGCAGAGCTAAAGGGTCAGCCTGAGTAAAGAAGGTAGGTTTCTCCATTCGGTAGAATATTCATTCGGAAGGATTTAAACCTATATTTATGGAATCGACACCACGTCCACCACGAAACCATGGGGCTCTCTTAGACGCAAAATTCGCCCAAGCCTGACTTGACTTGCTCGCGTGCTTTAGGAGTGGAAGGGCCATCAGGGTGGAAAATAGCGAAAGTCTGGAATCCCGGTCCGTGAGCCTGACGACTGCGACCAGCCCCAGTTCAGGAGTGCCGGTTTCGTAGTTTGAATTTAGTCGAGTTGAGTTGAGTGAGTACTTCAGAGTGGAGAAGTATGTTGCTGAATCTTACTGGCGGCTGGTATCAATATCACGTTGGAGACGGTGGTCTCATGGTTCGACCACGCCGTGCCACTGAAGAAAAGGTTCTGGTTGAGAGGAGAGATAGTTCGAACTTCCTTCCCATCCGGTAGAATATGGCGGTCTAGGCCGTAAGAAGAGCTGGCGAAGGCGATCCTTTTGCAACGAGTGTTCAACATGAACGTGTCGTGAGTCTTGTGCTGCCCGAACAATTTGCATTCGAGTTATGCCGCCATCCCATCCTGCCCAAACGGTTTGCATTCGACTTATGCCGCCATCCCATCTTGTCGCAGTAATAGGTTGTGCAGTTCCAGGGAAGCTTGAGGTGCGTCAAGAACAGCAGGATATCATGGCTAATATAGTTCTTGTGTCCTCCTTCCACCCCGGAACATGCACCAGTCGCACTAGACATAAAAAGTGCCGTCAGCGAGACATCTCCAAGGAGCCTGGAGGAGCGATAATCGAATCGAGAAGGAAAGTTCCAACGTACGACTATCTCGTCGCAGCCTGTGTTGTGTAAGACGCAGTATCTGCTCTTGCATCGCTTGCAAATCCGCGTCGACAGGGGCGAACAAAGACCGCAGACGCGGCCACATTCGAAACAGTCGCGCGTCACTGCCGCCTGGCCGTGGACGATCTTGATTTGTTGCTGTGGAAAGAAACGGAGTGAGCGTCAGCCACTTGTATGAACAGGCACAGGACACGAAGAAGGTGGGCGAAGGATAGGCACATTGGGCAGGCACAGATGTGGAAGGCAGCGTCGAGAGCGATGGCTGCCGAGTACTATTTCAGTGTGGGCAGGAATTGGAGGAGCACCCATCTCTGGTTGCTGAAAGGAGTCTCGCACTCTCCAAAGTTTGTGTTCACTCCGTTGATCGTTCATCCTCTCGACGGAAACATCTATCTTCACATGCCATCACCGCCAGCCCGGATCATCCACTCGTCGACAAGACAATGTTGAACGCAGAGGCGGTTAAATACCTTAATGTGGTCGCCACGGTCACCGCTAGTGGCTCCATCGTTCAGCTCATCCCCAGAGGGTAGGTACGATAGTCCGGCTTGATGCAGCCTCTCGAGATCGCTAAGTTTCTTGGATAGTGTCGGGTTGTAGCAGTGGGCGCACCACCATCGGTGACAACTCTCACAGTGTCGGTTGGTAAGACACCAGGTGCACGAGACGATGAGGCGCTGAGGAAGAACCTCTCCATTTTCACCTCTCCGAGGTGGAGGACGCACGGCGTCAATTAGCTTTCCGCTCGACGGAGGTGGCCATAGTAGAGGGAATTCGGACGGGTCGCTTTCACCCCAGACCGGTGCCCCGCGAGGTTGGCGACCGCAGCTTGCGCATCCTGTGGGGCCGAGAGCAATGGTGGCCAACGGAGGAATCCCAGCCTTATTCTCTGCCAGGTAATCTCGAGACGCAACATGCAGAACGGGAGCCATGTCGGCGTGCATGTGAGTGCAGAGGACGGCATCAAAGCTGATGATATCCTTGCATGCCAACATAGTTTCTTCCCACGAAGTTCGATGGCCATGCCCAGGGTAGATGACCTGCCCAGCGGGTGCATACCAAGGATCGATTCCGCCAGCACCAAGTCTGTCGGTGGGTGCGACGGCAGCTCCAAGCTGCGTCCCTTGCGAAGGAGTAGCGCCCGAAACGGGTAACCCATAGTCGAGGGCGTGCTGATTGGGCGATGCTGGCGGCGTGAATACGTACAAGCCTTGTAGTCGGGGAGTGCCTTCCGGCCTGCTAGGCCGGCATATGTGGCGCAACAACTGCTGCAGTTTCGAGTGATTGACGTTAAGGCATCGCCGAATACTGAGTAGCCGCACGTGATATTCAGGGTCAAGGACAATGTCGCTAATTAGATCATGAGTGACAGAAGCCAGTTCATCGAGCACCAACGTCTGCACACTTTGGAGTACCTTCATTCGACCCAGTTTCATCAATACGCCGCGCAGTGGCCCGGCGTAGAATTCGTCTTCGGTGAGATTTTCGTCCATTCGTTGCGCACGCCAGGGAAATCCGCCCGAGTCTATCCTGGTCAACAGGTTGGTTGAGACGTAGGCTCCTCGACATCTTGACAAATCTATATAGCGAAAGACGCTAGCCGTGTGGAAGATTAGGTCCCGCAGGTAAGAAGACGTCCTTGCTAGGGCAAAGATAGAGGATAGAGGTAAGTAGTGCACAAGGTTGTCGAGGATGATGGAGTTCGATAGCAGGTCGAGGAGGGAGGGCGGTAAGACGCATGACGAAGGGCTGTCGGCGGTTGTCATTGCTGCCCGCCGGGGACAGGAGTCAAGTCTTATGTTCCGATGAGGCCACGCAACGATGACACAGGATGGATACAAGCGATGAGGAACTGAACTTGCTGGCTCATCTGATGGCCTGATGGCCTGACATACAGGATGAACATGAGGTCAAGGCAGCCGATGCCAAGGCTCACCTGAGCACGTGCCACCGTGCGGGACTAGGCTCTAAACGCCTCCCACTAGCCTCATCAAGACTAGCACGTACCTCAAATCAGACCTCATTGCGCTACCAGAACTGGAGGTCGGAGGACGGAAACTACCTACAGGTTACGCCGCACTTACACTTACTATACACCTACCATGTATATGCTGGGATCGCTCATGTGCCCGGAGTCCAGTCCTGTTGCTCTACATCACCTAATGATGGTGTAAGAATGCATCGATTAATAGATGTAACTAACCCAAGCGTCACTTTGCCCAAGCGCTGATTAGAATAAAAAGTACGATGTACGCCGACGAAAGCATGCTGTCCGAGTCCCGGGAGACGTCCACGTCCATCTCTCTGCCGTCTCTTTGCCATCTCTGCTCTATCTTTGGTCGAGATGGCGACGCTGTCACGTTTCTGAGCGCTCACTGGTGGTCTCACTCGAGACGCCAGCACTTGAGAGTAAAAGACCAATATAGCCTCACCAGAGACCCTACAATTCTCTCCTGTTTGGAATCCCGGTCAGCTGGCTCGTGCCTGGTCGACTTTGTTCCCATGCCATGCTCGACATGACGGCCAGCGTGTCATTAGGATCTCCTCCCATGATCGTCAGAGTAGTGAACCCACTAAAGTAGAAACCTAGTATCACCACCAGATAGGTCAAAACCAGAATACTGCCCTTGAAGTAGTTGCTCCTGCCTTCCCCGGCTATGTAGCTTAACAGAAACACGCAGAGGATGACTGTGACCATATCCCATTGTGGGAAGATGAGGCTGAAGGTATGATCGAGTAGGTCGCTGGGGTCGATGAATCGTCCGTGGACCGCCGAGAACAGAACAAGGGCTGGAATCTGGAGCAAGCAGACCTGCAGCGCGTAGGCTGACCCGATCTCCATGCTGAGCGCAATGTTGCCATTCATTGCAAAAGAGATGGCGTTGAGGAACTCGGTAGTGTTGGGGACTAGCGCAAACAGGGTGATCCCTAGGAATTTCTCGTCAATCTCTATCGAGTTGAGCACAACGTCAACTGTATCCACAAGGATCTCCGCCACTAAGGCGTACGCCACGGTTGCCGTCAATAGGATGACAGACGACTTGGTTCGTGACCAGTTGGGAGCATCATGCCCAGCACTTTCGCCTTGTACTGCTTGCTCCGTTGTAGGATTGGCAAAGGCCTCGTCCACAGCAGTACTACTGCGTGTGACTGCGGGCCGGGTGCTTTTCACCGTGTCCGCTTTGTACGAATGTGTCGCCTGATACGATGAAGCTCGAGGATGATTTACCGCGTCTCGTGCCGCGACTGTCGCAGCGGTAGCCGCCATCTCGGCGACCTGTCGAACAAGGTTGTTGTTATCTTCCTCGGACAGTCCTGGCACAACAGGGCGCAGAACCGGACTCTGGAGAGTCTCCGAACCGTGGCTGGATTTGGGTGGCACAACGTGGGGCAAATCATTCTTGTTCTGCTGGTCGACGCCGTGATTCTGGGACACAGGCTTAGGTCCCACCGGAGGCTCTCGTTCAGCAGCACCCTCAGCTTCACCAGTGAGACCTGCCGACCGCAGAGACTGTCCGAGAATTCGTTTGTACAACTGTGAGTCTCTGATGGCGGACCGGGGCACATATGATCCATTCGGGTTGTGAAGCTGCTGCGAGTTGACCACACTGTGGTGCCGAGTATCCATGGGGCTCACCTCGGCAGTATTGATTTGTTGCGGTCTCTTTTCGTCCCCCTCGGTGCTCCAGATAATGGCGGCATGCGTTCGCAAAGTGAACAGCAGCCCAATGATGTAGGAGGAGAACAGGAAGCCAGCGGCGATCCAGCAATACGGTCGGACGGCTTGGACAAAGAACTGGTCCGTGACAGCTGGGACCTGCCGGAAATAGCATTGTCGGCAATCCCGTGGATTGTCCAGATCGGCCGCCGTGCATGATTTGCAAATCATCTCATGGCTTCCGTAGATTTTGTAAAACAAGGTTGGCCCAAAAGCTGCGATCACAGCGAACAGCAGCATGGTCGAAGTTGCACCTGCAGACTTGACATTGAATCGTTGTGTTTTGCGTCGGATCGCCCCGAAACACATTGACAGCCCGGGCAAGAGAAGAATGCCCGCAAAGATGCTGCCAATAATGCTACCCTCCACGAGGGCCCCCTTGCCTTCGTTCAGGGCGATGCAGTACAGGTACACCTCGACGATCGTTGAGAAAAAGGCATTGACTGCCGCCCCCATACCCATCGATGACTGTGCAGATATAGAAGCTACCGCTTGACCGATAAAGTAGGCCAATGGGATAATGGAGATCAGGGCCAGGGTAAACGTCAGCGCTGGACTGGTGAGCCAGATGTCCAGACCCAGGGCTTCTTTGAGGATGAAATAATCGATGATGACAAGGATCACCAGAGCCAAGAAGTTGATCAGGAAGATGTTGGTGCCATCGACGGTGTACTTCCAATATTTGATTCCAACAGCCCGGTAGGTACAGAGGAGGATGGACGACGGTCTAGTGGAGCTTCTAGCAGCTGACACGTCGCGATGGAATGTCAGTGAGAGAGGTCTTTTCCGCAAGTGGTAGAATAGAATGAGCGTGACGCGGCCCATAGGAATCCAGAACACCATGAACCAACAGATCATGGAAACCAGCAGCATGAGAGGGGCGACGTTGAAGTAGAAGAAGACGAAAAAAATGACCCTTCCCAAGGTCCACTGACCACGGCCAAAAAGCCGTCGTTTCCCTTTGAACTGTATGCCCGAGTCGTCTCGATCAATTCTCCCGCTCCTAGCGAGGAGACTATCATTCTCGCTGGCCGAGTCGATGCTGTTTCGGTGTCGGCCGACGATGGAGCCAGAGTGAGTGAGGTTTGGTCCAAACATGAGTCGCCCATATTCCAGGTCCCCACTCTGCCATCGTTCATATTCGCTGATGCTTCGACCTTCACCTTCGTCTTCATCCACGTAATTCTCATCTTGCTCGAGCTTGACAAACTTGCCAAACGGCCAGAACAGGTAGCTAGCGAGACCCCAGAAGACTCTGCCATATGCCGCCGCACTAGGGTCAAAAGCAAATAGAAAGCAAACTAGTGAAGCCAGGGCGGCGGCGGCGGCTAGCCACCAGCCGAAAAAAAGTGTCCACAGGGAATTGAAGGCCCAGAGCCAGTTGCTGACGATCTCACTCGGGGAGGAATGAATGTCTTCTTCTGCTCCTTTCTCGACCGATCTATTCTTCTTGTATAACGCAGGTTTCCATATTCGGATACCGAAGGGATGTGTCTCATTGATGGCCAGCTGCCGGTCTCTAAGTGTGAAACTCTCGGCATCACTCAAATCTGGCTCTTCAGAGTCTTCTTGTGCTTCATCGTCGGCTTCGTCGACGGCCTCTTCCACAGGCGCATCGGCGAGATCCTCTTGAGAAAATTGCTCCGCCTCTTCTTCTGCAGAATCGACGCGGGCAAGTTGAGGAACCGCGGCATGGGTACGTCGGCGAATAGTGGAGTGTTGTCGACTCGGGGTAGGAAACGTCGGCGCAGAAGGGGTTTGCGGCGCTCGAGATTCCTCTACTTCGGAAGGATCGTCGTCGACTGAGAACTGTTCGCCTCGGTGGGGCAGCTGCCGCCGTGTAGATGTCCTTCTTATAGTCGCAGGTTTTCGGGGCCTCGAAGACTGCGGTGACAAGGGTGCCAGACCAGAAGGAGTTTCTAGGCCATCTTCAGATCGATTGGCGCTTCGTGGACGATGGCCGCTTGTAGTAGGGACACTACTGAGCGTTCCTGTTGTCCTGTCAGGCTTATTCTCTCAATGTATTGGAGTTGGTGTTACCGTAGTCTCTGCGAATGCTGGTGTCTCGAGCAGCCGACCCATCAGCAATTTCAGACTGGCCATCTTGCACCGGTTCCACACTCTGGGAATCACTGGGTGACATTTCGGATGGAGGTTTTGATGCTCATGGACGTTGGTGGGCGTTTCTCGGCCTCTGCTCAGCGTCGCAAGATGACGTGCTGGTTACCGTCAGGATAGATGAGCCAGAGAAATCGACATCCAGGCGGATGGGTGCCTGGTAGAGGCCGGCCGGCGCATCAGATGGACAGAGTAGAGTCAGATGATGTCGAGAGTTGGAAAACTGTAGAAATAACACGTGGGGAAGTGAAGGAACGTTGTGGAACTGAACACCCACGGCACACGTAGGTGGACTCTGGGGAACGAGGCGAGAGGCGAGGGAGAGTGTGCCAGCGACAACACTTGACAGCCAAATGGTGCACGTGCAGTTGGTATCAGCAAGTAAGAGAAGGAGCTGATGTACACAACCGACCTTGGAGGCTCGACGCGAGCTGAATGATGTCGCGGATGCACTGCGGAAGGCGGTGGATTCCTGGCAGATGTGACAGGCCTCAGCCCTCGCAGACGGTGTCTGATTTGCACAGCAGTCGTCTGTGGTGGGTGCCCTTGGATTAGCAGAGCCCCTAAACTGCCGGTCAGTAACCATTAGGGGTAACTGATGGGCTTCAGCTGCCTAAGGTGCCAGGTATTAGGCGGTGGATCTAGCCTATTAGCCAGGATTTGGGCATCATCACACCCGAGCCTTTACGCATGATTTCGCCAACTCCCGATCTTGCTCCAGCCACAGTGCCACACCGCCTTGCATCGCCACAGACCGCGCTTATATCCCTAACAGCCGCGCCCAGACGCTTGCCGCCCTATCTCAGTGCCTGGGTGAGGAGGCAGCGGTCGGAGGCGCGTCCTCTCTTGTCTGCATTACGCCGCCAACCTATCCGTACAACTTCCCACCAACAGCAGCTGCCGCTCACCATCTGTCCTTGATATTGCAACCCCGTGTCAAGAGACTTTGATCCTTTTCTCTATAGGATTTAGGTGACATAATTTCTCTCCTCCATTATGGCGCTCGACAACTTCTACCGGAACAAAATCGAATCGTTAAAGCTTGAGATCATCCAAGGCCAAGCTGTCCTCCGTCGATTAGAAGCACAACGAAATGATTACAACTCAAGAGTACGGCTACTGCGGGAAGAGCTGGGTCTTCTACAACAGCCTGGGTCCTATGTCGGCGAGGTGGTGAAAGTTATGAGCACAAAGAAGGTCCTGGTCAAAGTACACCCTGAAGGCAAATATGGTGAGCTTCTGGGTCAGCAAGCTTTGAGCCTTGGCTAATCGAGAGATAGTCGTCGACATTGCGGACAGCGTCGACATCAGCAAATTGACCGTCGGCAAGCGTGTGTCCCTCCTTTCCGACTCCTACAAACTCGAGAAGATGCTGCCCTCCTCAGTCGATCCCTTGGTCTCTCTCATGATGGTCGAAAAGGTCCCAGACAGTACATATGACATGATCGGAGGGCTGGACCAACAAATCAAAGAGATCAAGGAGGTCATTGAACTTGGTCTCAACCACCCCGAACTCTTCGAATCTCTGGGTATCGCCCAACCCAAAGGCGTCCTACTCTACGGCCCCCCTGGAACAGGCAAGACTCTCCTGGCTCGTGCTGTGGCTCACCATGCCGATTGCAAGTTTATCAGAGTCTCTGGTTCAGAACTGGTGCAAAAATACATTGGCGAAGGCAGCCGAATGGTTCGAGAGCTCTTTGTGATGGCAAGAGAACATGCGCCCAGTATCATTTTCATGGACGAAATCGACAGCATAGGCTCCAGCCGTGTGGAAGGAAGTAGTGGTGGAGATTCCGAAGTGCAGCGAACCATGTTGGAACTCCTGAATCAATTAGACGGCTTCGAACCTACCAAGAACATCAAAGTTATCATGGCAACGAATCGACTGGACATCTTAGATCCCGCCCTTCTCCGACCAGGTCGAATTGACCGCAAGATTGAATTCCCTCCGCCGAGCGTCGAGGCACGAGCAGACATTTTGAGAATCCACTCTCGCAGCATGAATTTGACCCGGGGGATCGATTTGAAGAAGATTGCCGAAAAGATGAATGGTTGTTCCGGTGCAGAACTGAAGGGGGTGTGCACAGAAGCGGGCATGTTTGCATTGCGGGAGCGACGTGTGCATGTCACCCAAGAAGACTTTGATCTGGCCACTGCAAAGGTGTTGAACAAACACGATGACAAGGAAGTCTCTTTGGGCAAACTCTGGAAGTAGTTTGTGTCTTCCAGGTGCTTCTCTAGACAATGATTGTTGTAATACTATAAGGCAATTGTAGAACCGAGAGAGAATGTCTATTCGGATACCAGAGACCAACCAACCTTTCCTTTTAGTTGGGCCATGACCGCTCGAAGTTTGCGCTCGCCTCGTTGCAGGTTGCAGCGCAGAGTATGTTTTCCGTTCTATTTATTCGTCTTATCATCTATGATCTATTGAGGACCGCATTTGGTCCCGCTCTAAAACGCTGATACTGTCATCGTCCCTGTGGCAGTCTGGCCCAAGGCCGAGGTCCCCTTCTTCGCTCTAGTCAGAGTGTTGGGAGACATGGAACAAAGCGGCTTCAAGTCCACCTTGGGGACCAACCACCGGCCTGACAGACGAGGTGAGGTGAGGTGAGGTAGGTAGTTGCTTCGACGGACATTATTTCTTCACCCAACCTGAAAGCAGGGGCTCAGTGCTCAGTGGCTCAGTGCTCAGAGCTCAGTGGCTCAGTGCTCAGAGCTCAGTGCTCATAGTGCAGAGTCCCCTCGACATTGGCCCAGAACTCTTCGACCAGCTCCTTCTGGCCCGAGGTCGCACCCCGAACGGCCAGATACTTGCGATGGTCGACCGGGACGTGCCAAGTACCGGGGTTGGCATCGACAATGATTCCGCCGGCCTCAGTGAGGATGACCCAGCCGGCGCAGACGTCCCAGGCCCAGCAGCCGCCTTCCCAGTAGACGTCGAGCGAGCCCTCTGCGACGGCGCAGAGGTTGAGGGCGGCGCTGCCCAGGGCGCGGACCGAATGGACCATGGCGCCGCCCTCGTCTTTGCTCCGGCCCAGACGGGCCCAGGTGTCGGCCTTGGTCTTCCAGTTGGACCCGGACCGGTCAGACCCGAACTCGGAGATGACTATACAAGAATCCAGACCTGTTAGGGGTGCGGGGTCCTGTAATGGAAGACGGTGTATGTCTGTATCTGTTTCTGTTTCTGTTGCCGTTCCTGTTCCTGATTTTGGTTCTGTTGTCGTTGTCGTTGGGTTTCCCGTCCCCCCCACCTCTCGCACATAACTCCCTTGGCCCCGAACGCCCGAGTACAATTTCCCCGTGAAGGGGTTGTAGACGACACCGACGGTGGGGACCTTGTCGACCGCAAAGCCCAGGCTCACACTGACGTAGGGGTGGCGGTGCACGAAGTTGGTGGTGCCGTCGATCGGGTCGACCACGAACGTCGGCTCCGGGCCCAGCTTCTGCCCGGGCGTGTACGTCTCTTCGCCCATGAACGCGAACGAAGGGTACAGCCGCTTCAGCTCCGTCGAGATGTACGCTTCCACTGCCCGGTCCGTCTCCGTCACCAGGTCGGCCGTGTTCTTCTTCGTGCCGGACGACAAAGTGCTGGGTTTTGCGCTCGTGATCATCTCTCCGGCCTGGAGTGCGATCGTGACCAGCCGGTCTCGCAGCTGCGCGAGATCAATGTCCATGTTGGTGCTGGATGCTATTGTTGTGGAAAATAAATTGTCCTGCAATGTCCTGTCCTTGTCCTTGCGGTTGTCGTTGTCGTTGTCGCTTTGCTTGCTCTCAGCCCGAGATGCAGACCATATACTCCGTAGTCCCCGCAAATCGCAATTACTATCTCGTACTCGTGTTCGATTGAGCGACCATATAAAGAGAAGCGTTGCCAATCTGATTTGTCGGCCGTTCAGCAGGAATGGTGACAGATGATACAATCTGCTCAGATACCTCTTAAGGAGTAGTTAATGTGGTGAGACAAAAAAAGTCGGTCGGGCGCAAGGCCGAAAGTCTCGGCGAATCATGGTCCGAAATCGAAGAGCAGCAAGTATGACAATAACAACAACATTCAAACCAGACAGAGGAAAAGTATTGGAGAAAGATAAATGTACGTCAGTTATCTGGCATTGTATTTTCTGCTCTCTTCCTACATATTGTTGTTCAGTAGATAGGTAGAGATCATTTCTTGATATGGTGCGGATCTGTATAGAAAATAATTGAAACAATGAACATTGCTTGCTGACAACGCTAATATAAAACCTAAAGTGAGCCGAAAGATATATATTGCTGTAATATCGCAATTGGATTCTGCAGAAATCACGTCTCATCTAACCGGCCATCCTCATACCTCGTAGCGTGGCTCTCCTCTGAACTCTGGCTTCCTGTCCTGCTATGCTCGCCCATTGGAACGGCCATGCCAATTGCAGATATCCCATCAGCCCCGACGCGGCCGGCATCCCAGTTCAGCGGTTTCCGTCTGATGCCTTGCCGCTGAGGGGTTTGGAAGCCAAACGATAGCGGACGCATCAATTGCTCCACGTCGCCCATGCCCAGGCCCAGGCCCTTCTCACGCACTCCGAATGATAGGACTGGGTCATCCAGCGCTCTCCGGTACGCGCGATGTTCGAGCCTCTGTTGCCGCCAGTCGGTATAGCGTCGTCGGAGGGGAGGGCAGTAGCGCCACAGAAAAAAAGCGATGCCGATCAACGCCAGGACCGGGAAGATGACCGTCACTGCTGTTTCGGCTGGGGATAAGCCGCCCGACGTTTGCGAATCGGTTGGTGATGAGTCGGTGCTAGATCCAGATCCAGATCCAGATCCGGACCCAGAGTCGGAGCCACTGCCGGGACTAGAACTTGAACTCGCTGGACTGCTGTTGCTAGTGGTTGTCGGGACGATCGAGACTATCGACACTGCCGTCCCACTTGAGCCCGATGATGTGGCTACCAGGCCAGCCGAGTCCGTCGCGGCTGAGGCGAGGAAACCGGACGACGAGGCAGAAATCCCATCAGGACCAGTGGACACCTGAGTTGCTGTTCCCGATAATGGTACGCTGACTGTCTGGGCTGTAGCGGTTGTGGATGGCCCGAGTGGCTGTATTGAGCTCTGCAAGGTAGATGTTTGTGTGTTCGCTGTTGAAGGTGGCGGAGTCTCCGCTGATGGCGTCGTGGATGCCGTTGCTGTGTTCACAGAAGGTTTGGGGCCAGCTAAAGCAGTAGCGACGCCAAAGATTTCGCTGGCCACGCTGTTCAAGGAATCGAGAGGATTAAGAATTTGTCGCCGCTGGACAGGGATCGCATGTACAATGCTGCAAACGCAACCGAAAATAACCACACGGTCCAGTCGACACATTTTGGAGTCGATGACCGCGGGATCTCTGGGGTATATGGGAAATTGTGATCGATGATTGCGGCCGAAGTGTAAACTATGCTATGTCCCGCTCAAGCACCAGGACCAAGAAACGAACAGAGCATGAACAATGGCTTCTTCAAGGACGTGGAAGGAAAACATTTGAATAATAGGATATGCAGGTACAGGTAGGGCCGTGGCCATACATATGCCCAGGAGCAGAGATATACATGCGTACCTGCATTAGGCCTACCGGTGGCTTGTTGTGTTAGTTCTGGGGGGCTGAGTAGCCGCGACGCTCGGAAAAGCCTCCAGACGCTTCAAACGTACCACGTTTCAGGTATTTTGGGCAAGGCAGAACACATTGGTGAGGCTGGGATCTGAAGCTGTCATTAGGCTTGCAACGATCCTTGCGAGCGGTGCGAGAATGCTTTTAGTCTTGCTGTCATCCGCAAGGACTCGTCTGTTGACAGCCGGTTGACGGGCCAGATCCTGTCGAGCATGGTTTGACAAAACACATACATGAATCAGAAAAGGTGGTTCGATTTCCAATCACCATGGATCACATTTTGTGGAGGCGTAGGAGCGGCGATAGGGTCGACCAGGACGAGAGGTGCGTGGACTGCAGTCCTGAGTAACAAGATGAATGATGAAGATGTTGAACTATGTGGACGGAGTATGGATACATGTACGGATATAAAGCTCCTGTTTTGGGGGAGACTGTGGTGCTGCTTTAGCCTTCTGTCTGTTTAGCCAAACTTGAATGCTCCAAGTTCCCCAGCTCGACTTCACTAATTGACAACTACCTAGTATTCCTACACTACGGAGTATATGTGGTGTTCTCCTGCCAGCGATGCTACGCGCCCTTTCCGCATCATGTCACCTCGTCCGCCATAGTCGAGTCCATAGCCACCCTGCCACACGCAGCCTCACCCGTCCGCCGTTCTGTCGTCCAAATCCCATTCATGCCATGACTCTACAAACGCTGTCCTTGTCCTCCATCGAACCGGTCACTATTGCCGATAACAGGGAGGAAATTACGTTCCGCCTGGAAGATGGACGCTCTCTCACGCAGAAAATCGCCCCGACGCCCAAGGCCAAGCTGGACAAGCTCGCGGAAGCCCTTGCCTCGTTGCTCTCCCCTCCGGCTTCGACTTCGGCCTGGTCCTCGACTCTTTTGGTGCGGAGCGATAGCCCGTCGTTCGGCACTCTCCAATGGGATCTTGACCCACAGGGAGATGCTATTCACCGACATGTAGCTCTGTCTTCGCCGGGCGAATGTGACAAGCTGGTGCAACGGATCATAGCCGTAGCGGACGAGATGAACCACCACCCACATATCGCTCGAGAAGAGGGAGGGAGTTGCTTGACAATCACATGCACCACTCATCGTCCGCGAGGGCTTAGTGTTAGGGACACTAGACTCGCGACGAGAGTGAACGAGTTATTGGCCGGTATTCGAGTCACACAACCAGCCCAACTCACGGCTCCCAGCCGAGATCTGGAACAGTTGCAGAAACAAATCTTCGGACAACATGCCCGAATGATCGCGATCAATCGACAGCAGATAACAGAAGCTCTGGAAAGCTGCAATTGTGGTCCCGCAAGGGCCTAACAAAATACGGGCCCGGAGTGCCTCTGTACAATCTGATCTGTTCATGATGGCTCCCAATATCTGGCTAAGGGCTTTTCACACAATCGAGCTAAACAGTTGAAGAGGTTGTACAGTATGTGGAAGGGTCTCGATTGTTCTGTGACCATACATTGGTCGAAGTGCAGCGCTAACAGCCAAAACTGTACATTATCCCCCTCCCAACGCCTGCCAGTCTATCGCATGCATACCAACGCCACTGCCGCCACTTTCTATGCCAGGGCTCCAGCTCAATTTTCACGTAACACCGGCATCGACCGTATATGTCCAGCGGGGGTGAACTCGCTTGTTGTAATCACATGGGGCTTGATGGCACCCCATCTACTCCTCCTTCACCGCCGCCGCCTTTGCTCTCTTGGCCGCACCCGAAGCACTTCCTGCCTCAGTGTTCATCACTGCATCCCACCATCGAAAAGAGCTAGCGTAGTTGCCGAGAAACTTCTCGTGGTGCACGTCGTGATGATCGGCTCCAGCCCAGAATGGTAGGAAGTGATGCAGACTCCAAGGGAACTCGTATCCGGAATGGGCATCGATGGCCTGAAAGAGCCGGCCGACAATCCATGTATACATGGTGATGACGTGGAGGTTCTTGGTGAAGGCGCAGAAAACGATGGGGATCCCGACGGTGCCGAAGGCGAGAATCATGGTCTCGAGTGGTGAAGCATACTCTGCGGCCAGCCCAAACGGTGCGCTGTATTGATGGTGAAGCTTGTGGATCATCTTGTACAACCGAGGAGTGTGGAGAGCCCGGTGAAACCAATAGTGCCATGCGTCCTCGAGCACAAAAAAGAGGGCGATTTGCCATGCCATCGTGTACCAGTGAGGGAAGGGGACGCTGGTTGAAAGACCAAAATATTGCGCCATGGGGTGAAAGAGCCAGATCTGGGGGAGTTCGACGGTGAAGTGCGACAGCAAGACCAGTCTCGCGCAGGCCCATTGTTCGGCCAAGGTGGGCATTTTTTGCTGTTGGAGTGTCAGCCATTATATTATCATGGCAGTATCCGACATGAAACACACCTCTTGGATCTTGTATTGCCGGAAATACGGAATCTTATCCATTATCATAAACGGCAAACAGCGACCGAAGTAGACCACCTCGTGGATAAGAAAGGACATGATTCCGGTGGCCAAGACATCGTTTTGCATGTAGGCGTACCACGCCGCCCACGCCTTCTCCAAGATATTCAGGTGGACATTGTACTGGGCGACATCGTTGAAGTAGTCGGTGTAGGTGACTGGGGAGCCGAGGGTCGAATTGGAATTCCTAGGGGGAGAAATCAGTACACAGACTTTGACTCTCCAGGCCTGCTGGCCTTGGTGTGAAACCTACATGGTGAACACCGGAATGGATTCCACCTCCTCGAAATCCTGACAGGATAGGGACGTGTAGAAGAGGAATGAGACAAGGACAAAGACGCCAGCTGGAGGTCAAACGAGAGAACAGGCGAAAAGTGAACGAAGCCTGAAGGATAATAATATGTACGAGTATGGCTTGCTGGCCGGCCTGGTCTTTGATTGGCGTTGGGGTTCGGTTGGGAGCTTTTTATTGGGTTGGACTAGCTAGGAGGGCGAGTGGCATCACTCGGGAGGCGGATGCTCAGGGGATTGCGATCTTCCGAAGGTGAGGAAGCTTCGCGGGCGCGGCCAGGGTCAATCAGTCCACCAGTGGCGTGAATTGCTGGGCAATGTTCCTGCAGAGCCGAACAGGGCCACCAGCACGTGATCTGAAGGGGACAAACAGGGACAACCTGCCAAGCTGAAGCTGCGGCAGCGTCCTACTGCTCGAATGCAGACTCATTACGGTGGTCTACTCTCACATTGCATGTACTTCCATCAAGTCACATCACCGCGTAGAGGCATCATCTGGCATTTCGCTTGTCACTACAGAGCACGAGTAGACTTCTAGATCTTGCCTATCCACCTGCCACTGTCACTGTCCGTGGAGATCTTCCAAGCCGTCGAAGCCAAGCTGTCGAAGACCGCTAGAAGCTGACCTTGACGGTTTTTGCCGGTGACTTCACAGCCACGGTGCTTCCTTTCGCCGATTGTTCTTTTCCATCAACTGAGACGTTCTTTACAGATTTGTTGACCACGGACAGTTCCCAATCGCTCGCGAGCTTTCCTGTCGAGACATCTACAGTCAGGCCTTCCTCGGTCCCCCTGACCCTCAACGATGCCACAATCTCGCCGGGCCGGGTGTGGTTTGGGATCTCCACTGTCTTGTCGAGATCCGGAGTGTGGTTCACGACGAGTTTCACGCCATTGCTCCAGTCATAGACGGTTTCTCCTTCGGCTTTGCCCAGCGCAATGGCGGAGCCCGGCCGAAGTAGGACGGGGAGCGAGAAGTAGTCGTGTTGCTCGGTGAAATATTTAGGACCATGGCGGATCTTGCCGTCGAGCAGACTGTAGAATTCGCCTTCGGGGACATAGTAAGTTACATTGCCCTCGTTGTTGAAAACTGGCGCGACGAGCACGCTGTCGCCTAGGAAATACTGGGTGTCGAGCGACCACGAAACCGGGTCGTCGGGGTATTCCAAGAAGGTCGCTCGCAGCATGGGGACGCCAGTCTTGTGAGTTTGGATGGCCTGGGAGAATAGATACGGCATCAAGGATTGCTTGAAGCCGACGAACTTCTGCAGCACCTTGTCGGCCTCACCGGACTCGTCAATCAGCCAAGGCACTCGGAAGCTTCCGCTTCCGTGGAGGCGAGAATGGCTCGACAGCAATCCAAACGCAATCCATCTCTTGAACAGGCCCGGATCTGGCTTGCCTTCGAATCCACCTATATCGTGCGCCCAGTATCCAAAGCCACACAGGGCCAGGCTGAGGCCACCTCGCAGCGTCTCGGCCATGGCTTCGTAGGTACTGTATGGATCTCCGCCCCAATGAACCGGGAACTGCTGGCAGCCGGCGGTGGCGGATCGAGCAAACAAGGCTGCCCGGTCTTTCCCATAATTCCGCTCGAGCACTTCAAACGTCACCTTGTTGTACAGGTAGGCATAGTAGTTGTGCATTCGGTCGGGATCCGATCCGTCAAAGTAGGCGACGTCGCCGGTGGGGATTCTTTCGCCGAAATCGGTCTTGAACGAGTCGACGCCCATGTCTATCAGCTTCTGCAGCTTGCTCTGGAACCACTTGCAGGCATCTGGGTTGGTGAAATCGACGAAGCCCATGCCGGCCTGCCAGAAGTCATACTGAAACGGGGCACCATCCGACTTGCGTTTGATGAAGTAGCCCTTCTCGGCGCCTTCGTCGAAGATCTTGCTCTCTTGAGCGATGTACGGGTTGATCCAGACGCAGATGCGCTGGCCGCGTTCCTTGATCCGGGCGAGCTGGCCCTTGGCGTCGGGAAACATGTCCTTGTCGAACTCGAAGTCGCACCATTCAAAGCCCTTCATCCAGAAACAGTCGAAGTGGAAGACACTGACGGGGATGTCGCGCTCCCGCATGCCGTTCAAAAAGGAATTGACGGTCGCCTCATCGTACTCGGTGGTGAAGCTGGTGCTGAGCCACAGCCCGAACGTCCAGGCGGGAGGCAGCGCCGGCTTGCCTGTGATCAGGGCATATTTCTGCAGGACTGACTTTGGATCCGGTCCGTGGATCAGGTTGATGGCCAGCTGCTCGCCGCGCACCGCGATATTGAGGCGGGTTGTGCGCTCTGACTGGACCTCCAAGGAGACGAAGGCCGAGGTGGGAATGAAGACGCCGTAGCCATTGGAGCTCAGGAAGAACGGCACGTTTTTGTACGTGAGTTCGGATCCGGTGCCGCCGTCGTCGTTCCACAGCTCGATGGTCTGGCCGTTCTTCTGCAACGGGCCGAATCTCTCGCCGAGGCCGTAGATCTTCTCGCCCACGCTCAGTTGAAGCTGGTACGTCGTCCACCGCTCGCCTTTGTTGGGATCCGTGTAGTTGGCTTTAGGGTGGAGCGCCGTGGTGTTGTGCTTGATATAGCCTACCGACCGCCAGCCGAGCCGGGTCAGGAATTTGCCCCCGGCATGGAAGTCGACGTTGAACGATTTCGGCCTGGTGTCGACCGTGGCCCTGAGCTTTCCCACCTCCAGTGACAGGCTGTCGGCGGTTTTGGCGGTCTTGACTGTTTCTGCGTGGGATGACTGTGGCTGGTCAGCAATGCACTACACCTCTTCTACGTCGCACGGGGATGAGTGTCGTGATGGAACGGGAACAGGGACGGGAAACGGAAACGGCGTGGCCTTCCTTACCTTTCCATCCGGGTACAGTTCAAAATGAGGACCCTGGGTGAGAGCCCTGGCGCCCTTCCAGTGGGTGGAGGACATGTACAAGACATCGTCAATGGGCGAGCTCAGTTCATGCGTCAAGGTGGGATTGTTCAAAATGTCGCCTCGAAAATTGATGGGTTTGGACGCCGACACGAAATGAAGATGGTCGTCTCGTGCTTCGGCCTTGACCACCTCGACAGCCCAGTCGATCAAGGTGTTTGGTGCTGGATGCCAGCATCCATGGGAGAACTTGACCATGACTGACTGCTGGCAGGGCAGGGCAGGCTAGAATGAAACTTGGGAAGTACTGGCGCTCGCTCCAAGAGTGCGCACTGGAGCTGGGGTTTTCTTTTCTGATATGAGGCAGATGGATAAATAGTGACAGTATTAGTACTTAGTATTGGTCTGGGTGGTCTGGGTAGTCTGTCTTCAAGTCTCCCTTCCCTTCCTTTGCTCGTACTGTAACCGGCCGCAATGGTGGAGCTACACTCGGCCACGTCCTACTACGACTACGCCTACGTAGTCGGTACGTCGTAGTTCTCCGTAGTATGTGGTATGTGGTGGTGGATAATTAGGATAGGAGTGGTGGTTGAACCGACGGGTGATGGGATGGATAATAGCCGACCCAGCGCTCTGGCTCATATGGGAAATGGAGAATGGAGAATGGAGATGGAGACAGGGGTTAGGGTATGGTACTCCGTACAATATGTTTACAGACTAATAGTAGTAGATACTAGATGCCCAGTCTTTGGACAGTGTGAGTGTCGTATTACAGTACTACGGGAGACACAGGCACTGAAGAGGAAGTACGGCACGGCTGAGGCTTCCTTTCCAGACACATGACATTGAATATTTAATTAGCCTAATTGTCGGGGCGACTCCTACTGGCGACTGGTGCGTGTCCGTTTCGAGGCTCAGGCTGTGGATCCTGGCTCTAGGCTCTACGCTCGGGCTTAGGGGGCTCTAGACAGTAGACTCCTTGAACCCCAAGCCTAAGCCGCCCGACCTTAGCCCCAGGGGGTTCTTTGCAAGGCTGGCAAAACCCAAGATCGGAACAGGAACCAGGAACCCCCGCCAGCCTTGCCGTCTCCCAGCAGCCGAGGTTTCCGATTCACCCTTTTTGCCTGTTAGGAATCATGCACTGCGCAGTGACCACTGACCACTGACCACTGACCCGTCACCCGTGTGGCGTCGCCAAGACAAAGAAGCAGTCATGAGGGCATGAAGATTAAAATGCGGACAGTCACAGTCAGCCCCGGCTAATATCAAATTGCTGGAGAGGGAAGCGTGATCCCGTCTAGTATACTACTAAGATACTACTGCTAAGGTACTACTACTAATACTGTATGACATACTGTCCGTAGGTGTATGTGATGGATGGGACGGATGGGACGGGAGTGGCAGTGGCATGGATAGGCTCAAGCTTGTTCTTATTGCAGAGTCTATTTCATCCCATCCACCTAGGTGCCATCTCTTTCTTGGTTGCCAGATTCGGCCGTGGAGTTGGTAGCTGGCTCTTCTTCCCATGACCATGACTAGCGGCTACTCCGAGTCCTTCCTCTGCGCTGTTCTGCCGCCTTCACACAGTGATGGTGACAGTGACAGTGCAACTGAAAGACTCGAGGAGGAGAGCACCTGGCCATCCTGTGAATACATAATATACCATATACCATCCTATATGACATTCTGTACTCTGTGTACTATACTATACTGTATCTTTACCGAAAAGAGACTATAACTTATAGGTCGGTGACACCGAATATCCGTCCACGGGTCAGGCCTGGCACGATGGGAGTTGTCCGCTGTGGGCAACCGTACAGGACAGTACTGTGTAAGTTCTCCGGACAGAGGACGGGTACCGAGTCCTGCTACTGGCCGGGGTTGATCCTTACGCCCCTCAGGCCATGTGAGATGTGAGCCGTCCTGGTCCAAGCACCGGCCCCAAAAATCAAACTCAGCACGACTCCGACTGGCGAACGAACGCTCGGAAATCCCTCCGACGCTCGCCCGCGGCCAATCAGGCTGCGAGCGGTTAAAAGCAAACGATGTGGCAGCACACAAAGGATAAATTCCGGGCTTAGGAGGCTCCCATCTCCATTTCTCTGGGCATGCATGCAAATGCAATTGTGGGGAGCCCGTCACCACCCCGTACGGGGGCCTCGTGCTGTGCAAAGGAACCTGGCCAGACACTCTCCGAGGCAGACTTGAGGGCTTAGCCGCGTGGAGGCTGGTTGTTGTATAAGAAGACGTGGAGAGACGCAGTCCACAGTCCACAGTCCAAGTCCACAGTCCACCCCGACCAGACACTCGCAGAAAGGGAACCGCACTGTTCTGTTTGGTTTTTCACAAAGAGCATCGGCATCGAGAGAAATCGAAATCCTTGAACATGTCGCAGCAATCCGTCAACGTGTATACGTGGGGATGCGCCCTCTTCGCTGCGGTCAGTACCAGTACCAGTACCCAAACCCAACGAGCACACGAGCAAACAGTCGATCGAATCAAACCAGTGCTGACCTGACTTCCCTCGCAGGTCGGATCCCTTCTTTACGGCATCGACTCGGGTATCGTGTCGACCACGATCGCCCATGAGAGTTTCCTCGAGTACTTCGCGCCGTTCACGCCCAGCATCAAGGGCGCCGTGGTGAGCACGTTCGGTGCCGGCTCCGTGTTTGGCGTCTTCTTCGCCGGCTGGAGCGCCGACTATTACGGACGCAAGAGGACCATCTTCATCGCCGCCGTCATCGCCTTGGTCGCCGGCATCATCCAGGCCGCCTCGGTGCACGTCGGCATGCTGATCGCCGGCCGCATCGTCGGCGGCTTCGCGGTCGGCATGATGAACATGACCATCCCCATCTACAACAGCGAGATTGCGCCGCCTCACAAGCGAGGCATGATCTCCGGCCTGCACGCCCAGTTCGTCGGCTTCGGCTTCGCCACCGCCAACTGGATCGGCTTTGCTTGCGGCTATGCGAAGAAGGGGGCCTTCCAATGGAGGTTTCCCTTTGCTTTTCGTACGTGCCAGCCTTTCCTTTCCTTTCCTCTCCTGATCAATCACCTCGATGCTTGTCCGCCCTTAGACATCTCCTCTCTTTGGTGTGGAAATAAATACCATGTGTCTATGTCTTGTTCTTTGGTGTTGAAATAAAACCATCTACCATATGTCTACGTCTTGTTGCTTTACTGACCAGACATGTCACACTCAGAATGCTTGCCCGCCCTCATTGTCATGATCGGCATCTTCTGGCTCCCGTATTCGCCTCGCTGGCTGATGGAGCAGGAGCGCGACGACGAGGCCTATGCGGTGATCAAACGTCTGCACGGCACCATCGGCCACGACGAGTCCTTTTTCCGCGCCGAATTCAACCAGATGCGAGACCAACTGCGCTTCGAGAAGAGCGTCACCATCTCCAGCTTCCGCGAGCTGTTCTCCAAACCCAGCAACAGGAAACGTCTGATGCTCGCCGTGCTCGTCCAGGCCTTCACCCAACTCTCCGGCATCAACGTCATCAACTACTACCAGACCGACTTGTACAAAGGCCTGGGTATGACTGGGCACATGGTGACCCTGCTGGCTGGGTAAGTGATTTTATTTCTTCTTTGTGATCTCTCTCTCCCTCTCCCTTCCTCCCCCCATCTCTTTCTTCGAAGCCAAAGCTAACAATCCCGCCCAAAAACAGTGTCTACGGCATGGTCGGCCCGCTCGCCAACATGATCTGTCTCTACTTTGTCGACAGCTGGGGACGAAAGAAGACTCTCTGGATCACCGGCATCGTCATGACCATCGACATATCGGTGGTCATGGGCCTGACTGCCGGCTACGGCAAGTCCGACAACAAAGTCGGCCAAGGCTTCACCATTGCCTTTATTTTCCTGTTTTCGGCCATGTAAGTTTTTTGTTTTTGTTTTTTGTGATATATATATCTATACTGGTTTCGCCATCTCCGTGCAAGTCGGCTTGATCTAAGGTTCTGATCTCGATCTTGTTGCGCCGGTGTCCTTGAAGCGGTGGCATCGTGTGCCCTGACCTGACCACCCTGCCCTGACCTCCCTTCTCTTCCCAGACCTCCCAGACCTGAATTTCCCTGGCCTTCCGCCCTGACCTGTTCCGAAACCGACCCTCCCCCCTGACCTTTCTGACTTGCCCTCCCTCACCTGATCTGAAACTAACCTCATTCCAGATATTCATTGGGCTACAATTCCATCCACTACATCTACGTGCCGGAGATCATGACCATGGCGATCCGCGCCAAAGGCTCAGCCGTATCCATCATCTGCAACGTCCTGATCAACATTGTCTTCAACCAGGTCTCGCCCATCGCCTTCTCCAACGTCGGATACAAGTACTACTCGCTATTCATCGCCACCAACTTTGTCGGCGCCATCGTCGTGTTTTCGCTGTTCGTCGAGACCAAGGGCAAGTCTCTCGAGGAGATCGCCGCCATCTTCGGCGACGAGCTCGTCGTCGCGCCCCTGGCCACCGTCCAACAGGAGAAGCTGGACTTGATCGCCGACGACCAGGTCCACCATGTCGACCGCGTCGATGATAAAGTCGACGAAACGGCCACCGCGAAGAGGGAGTAGGTAGTGCTCTGCTTCCACTTCCACTTCCACTTCGACTGCCATTCCACTTCCACTTCCCCTTCCGATTCCGGTACGTGGTCTGTCAACAGCTAGCCACTCTAGGTGTAAAGACAGACGCATACACAGATACAGACACAGACGCAGATACAGAGACAGACGCAGATACAGAGACAGACGCAGATACAGAGACAGACGCAGACGCCGACGCAGACGCAGACGGACAGAACCTATCTGCGCCAGACGGTATCAGAAACGTGACAGTAATAGACACTAGACACTAGATACTAGATACTATCTGCGACATAGAGTATCTGTAATAGAGCGGAAGGGGGGAATATCAAAAGACTTACGTATCTGCGTTCAAATATTCTAAGTTTTATTCTAAACTCAGTCTAAATCTCAGTCTAAATCTCAGTCTTAGTTTGAATCTCAGTCTAAATCTCAGTCTCAATCTGAATGCCAGCTGTAGGTGTTAGTGTCAGCGTCGTACTGCTGTAAGTGTAAGTGTTAGTGTCAGCGCCATGTCAGAGTCAGTGTGTCAGTGTTAATGTTGGTGTTAGTGATAACAGTGTTTGTTAACAGTGTTAGTGTTAATAGTGCCTGATCTATCTATCTCCTGTCACAACGTCTTCGTCTTCGTTCCCTAAGACCTAAGACCTAAGACCCCCTCGAGACGCCCGGACAGCTCGTCAGGTATTCGGAGTTCTATGCTCGTCTTGATCTGGCCTGACCTCTTCAGTGATGTTTTTTGGGTCTCGTTTTTATTGTACAGTACATATAGTCCAGATCCTATGTCCCTGTCCTGATGACTGTTGAAACCCGACCTGGCCGGCATCAAACCCGTTGATAAACCAAAGGGGTCGCCGGGTCGGACAAGGCTTTGGCTTTGGCTTTGCGGGTGTAGTGATGGTGTTGGCAATGCCGGTTATGCTGCCTTCTGATGTGGAGGTGGACTTGTAGATGTAGATGTAGTGTTGGAATCCTTATCGCGGGAGTAGATGTCGCCGATGCCGGCGTCTGGCCTTGGGCTAAGGCCGTGTCCTGAGCTTTTGTTCGACCGTGGAGGAGACCAAATCCTGAACTGAACTGTGCTTCGTATCTCGCTCCAGCTCCCGCTCCCGCTCTTGCCTCTTCGCCTTTGCGGCCTCTCGTTGTCGGTGTAGCTGCAATATGAAATCCGGACACAAGTCCTCGTATCCTTTCTGCAGCTGCAGCTGCACTTCTATGCTTTCAAGCAGAGGCTGCCCACGACAACGTGGATGGGGTTTCTCGTGTCGAAAACCATGACCGAATTGTTCTCGTTGGTGCCGCTGACAAGTCCCATGCCTTTTCGGCCTCAGCTAATGAGCGGATTGGCGCGGAGGGTGTCAAGGACGTGGATGAAAGCGTGCCAAGCATAACAAATGCTGCCTGCTGGGCAAATTGCGGCAGTTGCGGGTTGAACTGCAACACGTTGTGCTGCTCGAGAAGCTTGATGCTGATTTCCCAACAACCCATTGACGCTCGGAAAGTGGTATCTTCTCTATACTGGCCCGTCTCCGGGGATGGTGTCAGGAAGCGGATGGTGTGTATGGGAGACGGAAGACCGGACCATCAGCAGCGTGATGAGGTGCAGCGGCTGTGAAGGGTCGCAGTAGTGGAGGTTCTTCATTTCGAGAAGTGCTTCAATCGCCCGGAAACCGATGCTGTCGTCTGTCTTCCTCGGTCGCCTCCTGACGCCAGCTCCTGGTCCCACTTACTGAAGTTCTTTCCTTGTGGCGGAACTTGGCTACATGCCCTGTAGTGAAGCTAGCAAGCTCATATCTCAAGCCGACAATGGCACCATCTGTCAACGTCCGCGACTCGGCCGGGAGTGAAGACATCCCTGCATAGAGCTGATCATCGTTGACGTTGGTTGAGCACTTGGTGCTATCGGATCCGACGTTACTGAGCCCGTGCTAACTTCTTCCGACCATATACCATATATACCCTATTACCCATTGCAGCCCGACTAGGGTTAGGGTTAGGGTCACCTCCAATTCTTGATATACCCGCTGCAACGCAAGTCTGACTTTGTCGATGCATATGCCGGACACAATATTCGGATCTGAGGCTATATTGGTATTGCGGGCGCGAAAGGAAATGGGCCCGAGCCACAGACACGAGAAACAGAGGTACTGTATACGTAAGCGCGGGACAAGGCTGTATACATACTTCGGCTGGCCAGGGTCGGGGTGCCCCCGAGACAGATCGCCGCCATCTCCGCGAGATCCTCTTGGACGCGATTCCCAAGGACAAAATCAGATGGGGTCACGATCTGAAAAATGCGACGCTTGGTTAGGATAGGCCGGTTCCTCAGAGACCCCACGATTCTCTGTAGACAAGACCCGCGCAGGAGAGTTGAAAATGGCGGTAGAGAGAATCGTTGGTACTGTGGGATAGGAGTAAGGGAAAGCTGGGAGACCTTCTGGCTTTGATCACGGGAGATTTTGATGCAGAAACACGACAGAAGACGAAGATATCAATCATTTCTCAGACTATACTTTATGTCAAGTGCATGTCCGGATTGACTTACGGTAGAAGGGTGCCCAGCTGCCAGACCAACCCGGAAGCACCTCGTCGATAGCGTCCATTACATTCTGGATGGCTGTAGTAGCATTCCTATCCTCCTATTCTCCGATGCCCGAAGGACATTACTCCAGACCGCGCGCTAGGTGGTGGTTATTCTGCTTGTTTCAAACACCGTGCGGAACCACTTCTCGTGCCATGCCTGCGAGTATTTGGGGAGATCGAGGGCTACGAGAGGAAGCTCGATGAGAGAACCATAATCATGAAACATGCGACGTTCTGCCGGGCGGGAGAGGTACAAATTGCACTGGATAAGGCGACTTGACCGGGATGCAGTGGTCGTGGTCGAAGGATGGATTGATAGCAGCAGTGGTGAAATTTTGTCGACGGTCTGGCCAGCGCTGGGGTTTGGCGCAGGAAGAAGCCAAGACGGGCGAGGTAGGCCAAGGGATCTCTCATTGGCCAGGCCGGCTGACATCACGTGTCGGCCATCAGTGTCAAACCTTTTCCAGCGACAGCTGCCACCTTGAAATCAACCACAACAGTTTGCTTGCATCGACTCTCCTTCACCACCCAGCACATTTGAGCAGGCAATGACTTCAATGGCTGTCACGGCGTTTGCACTGGCGGATGGTGAGACATTCTCCCTATCACAATCAGGTCGAGCCGATGTCTCGAAGTCGGCAGGATGATGACCTCTATATACGTGGAGGGTGCAATCTGGTGCTGCTGTCATCATCGGCCGCCTTCATGCAGCTGGCAACGTCTGGATCACCAGGTCAAAAATTGCAGACAGCAGTCAAGAGCTGTCTCATAGCTGTCCAGTTCGCAGCTGGCGGTCTGCTTAGATTGTTCTCCCGGCGGAGCAGGTCGAAAACGGCATTGACGTGGTCTAAAGAGGCAGTGACGTGCCGTCAACTGTCAGGTAAGATGCCCAGCGGCGTTGGGTCCTGATATCAGTTACGCCGCACTGTTAGCCACAGAACCCAACACAGACCAGATGCTGAACCTCGTCTGCGACGCGCAAGCTTCACCACCAATCAAGCAGGCCCCAGACACGCCCATCCAAATCTCAGAGTCTTCATTGTTGACGTTTGCCCACGTACTCCAAGGCCGTAATCGACGCTGGCAAATTCCCTTTGACACTCTCCATCTCTCCACGGACTATCCCCTGCTCCCATCCCCTATCTTGCACTGACGAAGTATTGATTTCGATTCAAAAGCCTTGATCTTCCCAATCTTCTTTATCGATTGTTTCCATCAACAATCTCCAAAGCACAACAAACAACACAACAACACCACTGATCACCGGTTGCCCTCGAGGACGAGCTCCGCCCAGACCACTTCCATCCACCCACAGCGCCCATTCTTTGCAATGGCCCAGTTGGACCGATCGGGCTTCTCCCTCTTTCCCATGCCGCCGACCCCTCCTACCAAGCGGCCCCGTGCAAGAGCATTGTTGACTGATCAACCGCGATTGGCTGTGAATAGTACAACTGGTACTGGATCTCAACACAGAAACTCCGACTGTCCAACTCTTCGTCCGGCTCCGTTGAAGCTACGGAAGAAGAGGCCGTTCTCTAATCAACCGCCCGCACCAGCTGCCCCTTCTATTGAATCGAATGCGGGCCTCGCTTTCCAGTCAGCAACCCCTTCCCCGATACCTCAATGGGAACCTTCCTCGCCCACGGCACCAGACCCGGCATCATCAGCCTGGCCCTTACCAGTGCCAGAGCCTCGCAGCCAAGAAGGCGTGGGTTCTGACACCGAAGATCAGAGGCGTCTTGAGCCGGTTGCTCGAACCCCCGTTTCGAGTAAGAGGGCTTCATGCCGGACCAGTCTATTCCTGGATGGCGACGGCCAGGTCGATCGCAAGAAGCTATCTATGTACCTCAGCGGGGTACTTGATCCATCTTTCAAGGTAGCCGTGGACTCGACCGAACAAACCCCTCTACCCTTCGATTTCGCCGAACGGGTCTCATATGCGTCCAATGAATGGCGAGAATCGTTTCGACCAGATGCATTCTCGAAAGGGGATGTCGTGAATTGTCAATGCCCTCCTGGGGTGGTCATGTGCCAATGCTATTCGTCTCCGGAATTCGAGCATTTCCGACGCGGGCAAGGTGAACACAAAGCGAACCCCAGCATCAGCTCCACGACATGTTTTCTTTCGGTTCCACGAGCACGGTTCCGCTCCACCCTGGTCGACGTCACGGAGGTGGACACCCCATCTTCTCCGCCTCCTTTGATGTACGACTCGGAGGATAGCGACGAGTTCGACTGGTCTCTGCCCAATTCGCCTACATTTCAGAGGCGACAGCTGCAGTACCAGCAGACTCCAACACCCGCAGCCCGTCAACCTCCTACCAAGAGGCCCCCCGTTCCATCGTTTTCTCTCCCATTCTCGCATGGCAAGCAAATCCGACCTAAGTTTCACGTTGATCGAACCTCCATGCCCTGGGAACAGCCATCGCCGTCTTCCAGCATACCCACGCTGGCTAGTATTTCGACTATTTCTACCTTCACATTCGACTTTCGGGATGACGACGACGAAACGGATTATGACCCATTTGACGATGGTAGCGATGTGAGCGAAATCCGAACATGGGAGCCGATTCAAAAAGCAAAGCCAGTCTTGATTCATTGCAAAGGCCCATCGCCCCAGTCTATCAAGTACGGACATGATTTTCGTTACAGGACCCGCACTGCAGGATCCTATTCCTCCGACGACACCTTCGGGTATGCTACAGTATCTGCTTCATAGACATGACCACGATTTTCCATAGACCACATGGCGGCATGAATATCGCCTTTGGGGTCTAGAGGCCAGTGTTTTATTTTCTCTTTCGTTCTGAGCGTGGCGCTCTACCTGGTCGGCCATATATACATTCTTTTCAGCTTTCAGCTTTTTTGGGGGGTGGATTCAGGGTTGGATTTGGGGATTGACAATGGTTTCTTGGAGGCTTTGAGGGACTCTTTTGTAGCCTTGGTATCATTGGTGTCCTTGGTGTCATGTACATGTACATCTACATCGATCAATGCAGGTCTGCAACAAGAGACACGTTAGCATCTGTCTGTTGAATCGATCTTTCCTTTCCTTTCGTTTCGCTGTGCTACCATCGCCATCATCCTCTTTTCCTTTCGTTTCGTTTCGCTCTGCTGCCATCCACCATCCCGAGGATGGCATGGTGATTGTTCACGGATGTACACGTACGTTTTGATCCATGAATCCTCGTACACGACCCGATCTGTCTCCGCCTGGTCGATGAGGTTCTGCAGCAGAGGCGGGAGATCGCTTTCGCTGTTGGACGAGGTCCGTGTCCGTCTATTGCCGGCGGTTGGCATGATGATTTTCTCCAGAAACTCCATGAGTCGTTGTGCAGTATAAGGTGTAGAGGATGGTAGTGGTGGAGTTTGTCTTGTTTGTCTTGGTTCTGTGTGTTTGTCTTACAAGTACGGATATGTGTGTGTGTGTGTGTGTGTGTGGATGGTTTCCTCAATTACCCCATCAGTCGAGGGCGACATGTGGGCATTGATATACCTCTTCAAACACCCCTGTCGATGCATACCATACCTTACGTGCATCCCTGTCTGGATAGTGATTAAGTGCATACCTTACGTGCATCCCTGTCTAGATAGCGATTAAATGCATACCATACCTTACGTGCATCCCTGTTCTAGATACTAGATACTAGATAGCGATTAACCTTGGACGATCAAGGACTAAGACTGTCTAGTGACATACTCCATCTCCATATCGTGTACTCCGTACGAGTACAGAGTACATACCCTACCATGCCCCGGACTCTGATATCCCGTCATAAGGTACTACTACTCCGGCGTAAACTCGGTGGGTGCATGGAGAGGTTACATACGTCATCCTCGCCTCGCGTCCAAAATGCCTCGCGCGTCTGCCCGTCTGTCCGCCTATATCGTACCTAGGTACAGTAGGTATTACCGTGTTGCAGGCCTGCCGTGTTGTGCTCTTGTGCGTTCAACCATATCTGCCATCTGCCATTAGTAGCACAGCTGAGCGGCCTTCTCGACGACCACTACGAGTACTTGTGCTGGAGACCCTTGCGTCTGCTTGCGGGAATTGATTACCCCAACCCAACCCATGCAATGCTCTGCGTGCATGCCCCTGCCACCTCCTGCTGCCTGCATGCATGGGTCTGATATCAATGCCCTGCGTGCATGGGTCTGATATCAACGGCTGGATCTTCGAAGACACCGGTTGACGACATCCATATCCACATGCGCATGCGCATGCACGTCAACTCATAGCTGTCTACGGTATCTACTCTGTGGAACCTATGTTCCTTGCTTGCGAAGAGATTGCCAGTCATACCGTTCCTGCCTCGGCGAATCGATCGTTCGGTTGATCGTCTCTCCGCCGACGTGATCCGGTTGTGCAACGTGATGACTGCCCTTGTTGAGTTCGAGTGGATCGTCAAGATGACTGTCTTGTTGAGTTCGAGTTGAATCGTCCAAGATGACTGTCCTGTTGAGTTCGAGTCGAATCGTCCAAGCAACTTCCACGATATCCAAGATTACGATCAAGAACGTGTCCCATCCGGGTTCTCTGTACTGTGCGCGGGGAGGTGCCCGGTTGTACAGATACACTTGGAAAAGCTGGCGACAGGTGATCCGCTTGGTCCAACCCAACCCTACCCAGCCGACGTGCTGTAGAGTACACCATGATTGTCTGGTAGCTCCGGGACGTCTTGAAAACCTGAAGGGGTTTGGCACGACTGAGGAGGATGTTTGGCCGCTAAGGGTAGCCGAACCCTCGCCCAACGTCGATGCTGTCACATCCAATCCACCCACCCCAGGATGTCTCCATCCAAGTAATGGCTGCCGAAAGCCCCTGAGCAGAGAGTGGGAAGAAATCGGAGCGTAGCTGTTGAAGTAGTCTACCACGGTGTACTCAGTAGTTGCAGCTGACTTGACTTCCGGAGCGCGGGTTGTTCGCAGGTCCACATCCGCCATCTTTGGACGGGATCCATCCAGTTCCTGCGAACGGTGTCTTCTGTGGCATACCCATGTAGTTCCTGCGAACAGTCTGTTCTGTGGACATGTCCGTCCAGTTATTTTGCCCGACAAGCACACGTACTTACGCCTCCTGGTTTTGTTTCTCGTAAGAACGTGGATCGTAGTCTGCATCAGCCGGAAGAGTAGACATTCACCGAGTCTTGCAACGCCCGAGCATTAGGCCATTTCAGAGCACATCGCTCGAGGACCTTCTGAGCAAGCGCCCGCCCCTGGAGGGTTGCCTTATCCAGGTCATCTCCCAGAAAAAACGTCGCGGCCTTGTATGTCCAGTGAGAGGTAAAAACGTTGAGGATCATGTTGTCCGAGGCATATGTGCTTAGCAGTTGCATAGCTGAGTCAACGTTAGGCTCAAGCAAGAAGCGCGTTTCGTTCAGAGCAGCAACGAGCAATGGTGACCCATGCGCCATGATCTTCTGCTCGACCCCGTCCAAATGGAGCTCGTCGAAGGAACTGCCCCTGCGGAAGCTCGATTGCACGCGATACAAGTGGCACAAAAGTTGGCTACCATCTGGTTTGTCGGAGAATGCCGTCGCCTCCTGAAAGCAGAGGAGAGTGAGCCGGTCTGTGGGGAGATCATTGGCGGGGGTGCTTACCCATTCAACGAGACCAGAGGGCCGGTCCAGGGCACTGGCAACCTGGTTGCCGATACAAAAGATCGACGCTCGCAGTTGCTGCAACGCTGGTGTGCTCTCCTCCACTTCTCGAGCGCCGAGCTCGACCTCTAGCCGGTGAGCAAAGGCGATCTGTTGTCCCAAGCTCCCGTTCTGTGCATCAAAGAGGCTGCGCAATGCGAGCAACAATACCGCTTGGAGGGCGTCCAGGTTCAACTCGGCCGTGATCTTTTCCGCGTGGACCAGAGCTTCTCGATAGAAGGAGTCGGAGAGGAGAACCAGCTGACAATCGTTGGCCCGCAGACAGTGGCACGCGATGGAGTAAACCATATGCAGCATGAAAGATTCCGAGGCGGCCAAGTCTGACAGCGAGGTAGGAGGCTCCGTCAGATATACCAGCGCCGCATCGAGGACGGGATAGAGGCCATGCAGCGTCTCGAGATAGCACGACACCAGGAATTGATGCATTCCTGATCCCATCAGCGACTGAGGCGGAACCACCAGAGGAGGACATGTCGCGTTGGCACGGAGCTCCGGGGAACTGATCACTATGCGGTCATCCTGCACTGCAAGGGGCGCCCGCACGCCCAGGTATCTGTATGCACCGTGTACATGGATGAAGTGGTGTTCCGCCGGTCTTGTGAGAGAGGTTGAGGTTGAGGTTGACGTCGGTGCCGAGGGCGAAGCACCGGCGGTCGCACCGGCGGTCGCACTGGCACTGGTCGCTTCCAAGGCTCTGAGGTGGTCGACCAGCGAGGCGATGTACCTGGGGCACGGAGTGGATGAGCCATCTCGACATCGTCAAACACCAGCAGGATGGCAAGTCTTACGTGCGCGGTAGTAGTTCTTTGGACACATGGTCAAAGAAGATGCATTCTGCTCCAACCCGGCTGCAATTCAGGCAGGCCGGAAGTCGGATGTCGCACCGGCGTTTGTTGCGACGACATCGTCGGCACGCCGGGAGCAACTGTAGCACCGCATCCAAGTCGGCGACCTTGGGTTCCTCGGCGGGCGCAGTGTCCGACGTTGCAGCGGGTGACATTTGCTACGGGACTGAGCAAGGTCGACAGAACAATATGTGAGGACGTTGAGATGATTCTACGTACAGTATCTACCTACATAGGTGGACATGAGACCCCTCATCTTGATAACTAGACAAATGCTTGGTGAGTGGAGGTTGAGGGGCTGGCCCGGCTTAGGGCCTTAGAACTCCTTAGCCCAAGCATGCCGAGGCCTAAGACGCCTGGGCCCTAAGGGCAGTTACAGTGTATTCCGCACTGTGTACTGTAAGCCTGAGCAGCGAGCACCCCTGGAACGCTCCACAGATGGGGCGACGAGATAAGGAAGCAGGCACAATTGTTGGTCCTTAGCCCAAGCCCAAGCCAAAGGGGCTTAGGGCCCGGATACTGGACAGGACCTACCTTTCCGGGCACGTGTGTAAGCGATGGTACCTGGGACTACAGAGTTAGGTACATACTCCATACCACTGCTGGATACACCTAGCCGCGTCCCTTGGCCGACTGACTCTAATTAGTCCTGCACTTCATACCTACATATGACACACGAGATCTTCCCTTCCCCTCCTACAGCACCTCCTGTTATGTCCTACTACAGCCACCGGCAATCCGCCACCGTCTATACGCACCGAGTCCCGCTCTAAGCACATCTGGTCAACCTTCAGCCATCGTACGACAAGCCTGCCTCGCCTTTCCCGCCCTCTCCCCATGCAATGACCTGGGGTAGAGCGTGCATGGAAGATGCGAGCGAGCGAAAGAGTCCGGAGAAGGGTTGTATCCTGCGCCAGGTGCCGGCAGAGGAAGATCAGTGTATGGAACCTACCTATAGGCATAGCATCATCACCTCACGACCGATGGGATTCCCGCTGATTGCAAGCCCGTCTGTCTCTAGTGCGATGCTCAAGCACCGTCGTGCTCCGTCTGCCTCGAGGCCGGTGTGCCATGTGTCGCCCTTGACGCCGCCACCAACGCCATTGCACCACGCAGCATCGCTCGATATCTCGAGGCGCGAATCGCAGCTCTGGAGAGTCAGGCCGGCAGAGGCACAATTTCCACACGCCCAGCCTCTGATCTCCAACTTGACGGCGACCCTTCTAACCTCAGACACGTAAATGGATGCTCGACATCACTGACGAACCCGGCCATCTCCCTCGCCTTACACGACATCACCACTTCCTTTCTTGGCCTCACCCAGACCATCCGCCTGGCAGGATGCGCGGCAGCGCCCACGCAGATCCCGTCGGCCAAAAAGCCCTTGAGTCTGACTGATTTGGACGAGAACCACCCTCGCTCCATCTTGAATCAACCACCGTCGCATCTGTCCCTGACCTCGGTGCCGACTGCGGTGGCGGAATTCTTGTTCGACATCTACATCAATCGAATCATCAACCAGTACCCGTTCTACCACTCTGCCGACGTGGTACGGGCATTCAACGCGATATTCCACCACGACACCGCCAAGGAAGCCCCTGGTTCGCCCACTGAAGCTCGAGATGTTTACGTGGTGAGCCTGATCATGGCCATTTCACTTTCCACCGCGGCACGGAGCAAGCAGGCGCGTGCGCAGTCTCTGGCAACCGGTCTGTTCCGCACCGCCATGCTCCACGTGTCAGAAGTCCTGTCGAATGACCTGGCTGGCTTACAAGCCCTCCTTCTACTGATGCAATATACATTTCTGAATCCCAGTGTGGCCAATCTTTGGCTTCTCACGGGCCTATCGAGCGAAGCGTGCATCGACTTGGGCCTGCATCAAGAGCTTCCAGCCACTGCTGGACTTGACCTGCTGGAGAGAGACATGCGTCGGCGCATCTTCTGGTGCGCCTGGGAAATGGAAGTGGCCGTCTGCGCGGGTTTCCATCGTCCCCTCAGGACGCAGAACAAACACATCAATGTTTCCTTCCCGGTCGAGTTTGGAGATTACGCCATATCACGCACACATATTGATACCACTGCTCCACGGACCAAGTTTGTCCCCCGGCGAATTTGGCTGTACCGCAAGATCGAGTCCGACATCATGTCTGTCCTCTACCAGAACGAACCGCTCCCGGACGATTGTCCGTCGCTCGCGGCATGGATGACGCGAACAGAGGCTGCCATGCGTGACTGGACGGAAGAGGTGCATCGGGCAGCCGCCCTGAACCAGGACGCGTCGGTGAAATCCCAATGGGATGAGATGGAACTTTATGCCGATATTGCATACAATTACATCCTCGTCCTCCTGTTTCGACCTTCTCCGAGGATAAAGATGCCCAGTCGGGAAGACCTCATGAAAGGCTTCACCGCCGCCGTGCAGGTAGCTACCGGATATTGGGAGCAGGCCAACACGGAGTTCGGCTACATCAAATACGTCTTCCACCCTTGCCACCACACTTTCTCGTCCGCGGTCGTCTTCCTGCAGGCGTTGCAATACTGCAAGGTTGAGATTGCCGAGCAGTACAGCCTGGAAGAAGTCGAAGGCTACATGATGTGCTTCTCGCGCTTCTTCTCCACCATTTCCGAACGCTGGCCGGCCGCCACTCGTTGCCTGCAGGAGTACGAGAGACTCTTGGGACCGATCAAGAAGGAATACTCGGAATTCCTCCTCCAGCGAGCGAGCCTCTTTAATCAGCAGAGCCCAATGCGTGCCTACCCGGTTGGAGACTACCTGGGAGACGCCATCGGCCTGGATGAGTCGTTCGCCTTCTGGGAGGTATCCAATCCTTTCATCGATTTTGCTGGGAATGATTCCATCGACACCTACGCCTACCCACCATATGATTGGAATGCCGAGTTTGGATTTGGGATGGACCCAACCCTGGCGGGGTAGATGGTCTAGAACAGACCGATCGCGATTACGGTAGAAATGATGCAGCAGAGGCCCTAGCCTCCCGACTACCGGGTTCCGTGGTCTGTGGCGGATGCTAGTAATCTCCGGCAGATACTGTATGTCTAACAAACAACGTCTAGTCTAGGCGGTGCGCCCAATCTTCCAACCATACCAGCTGTGGGCTACCTGAATCATGATTATTGCAGTCTCGGTTCCTATTGAACGCGGCAAGTGCTCTGTCTCATACCAAGGAGGGCGAGACCGCACAATATGCTCAAGCCTTTTCCGCGTCCACAGTCACCTGGCTCTCGACTGGGTGTTGTTCCTCGCCCCTCAAGGTGCCTTCGGGGTGTACCTTGACCGCCTCTTCCGGGTGTTCTTCCAAGATATGCTTGGGGATAACTACGTCGTCTTCGCCGTTGAAATACTCGGTCTCGCTGATGTGGAAGGTGGCGAGGTAGGCAAAGATTATGACGCCAGTGGTGTAGAAGGTGAAGATGACGGCGGCCTCTTTCATGTAGGGGACGGCGATAGAATCGACGCCGAAAGCAATGGCTTCACCAGCACCCAAGAAGCCACGGAACACACCCTGAAACAGTCAGCATTGGTTTTGGTTTTAGTTTCTGGGTTCGCACTTACAGCATAGTTGGCCGCCTTGCGCGGGGAGTTGGTCAGGGTGCCGAGAAAGTAAAGAATGATGTACTGCCACAAAGAACTAAAGACCCAGTTCATCATGAACAAGAAGAAGATGGCGACGAAGCCGTCGTCGGACCAGTCCATGGCTCGGGTGGGAGGGTTGGACCGATCGTAGTTGCGGACCCGCACAATCTCCCAGATCCAGGCGGCGATGAGGGGGATTCCCACCACTCCCAGGCCGATGAATGCGCGAGTTCGACGTTTCCCTGATGAAGTCAGTTCTAAGGACAAGGACGAGGATAAGGACAAGGATAAGGTTATGGACAGGACAAGACAAGGACATGACAAGATCAAGGACAAGACAAGAATAAGGACAAGACAAGAATAAGGACAAGACAAGAATAAGGACAAGACAAGAATAAGGACAAGACAAGAATAAGGACAAGA